TCATCATCATCATCATCACCATTACTAGTGTGATTACAACCTTCATTATTAGCATCACGCTCAATATCTTGAGGAGAGCGCATTGTGCTGATTGTGGTAATGAGCAGCCTTCGTGCATCACGTTCATCCCTGTATTGCTGATACTGGGAGGCCAGATCCTCTTTTAGATGATCAACCTGTGGAAGAGGTAAGATGCACATGAGTTTGTTTCATCATCAACAATTTGCTTTGTGGAAGCAGCAGTGCAGCAGTGCAGCAAGTAAAACCTTAAACTAACTTAAGTTAAAAATGACTTAGTGTTAAAAGCTAAATAGAAAATCTATAAAAATCAGAATCTGAAAGAGCTTTATTGCCAAGTGTGCTTGCACACACAAGGAATTTGTTTTGGTGCTGAGGCATCCAGTGCACAAATACAAATACAACAGGAAACATAATACAAATGATAATAAAAAAAAATTAAATATAAAAAATATGAGAATAAAAGTATCACAGTTGGGTTTAGTCAGGATAAGCATTTACAGATTATGAGCATATTTACAGTGTTTTAAATATTATAAATATTTTATAATATTTAATATGTAGACGTTGATATGCAACATTTAAAAAGAAAAAGAATAAAACGAAATAAACTAATATAAATTTCAAAGCAGGTTTTTAACCTAGTTCAAATTGCAAAAAATAACACTGGCTTGTTTTTTCCCCTCATCTCCCAAATTTGTATATGAATGACCTAAACCACTTGAAATGTAAATCACTGACCCACCGTTTGGCCCTGACAAGCATCTGCTGTAAACATCCAAAAGATTTCAATTCATTTCAAACCGTGTTCAAATGTTAATAAGATGCACATAATATGCTAAGAGAAACCACAACATAATATGATTAGTTTGCTAATTATAGACCATGGGATGATATAATTAATTAAAATAAAATAAGCTTTCCTCCTTCCTAGTAGCCTATTGAAAGTTCATGCTAGTTATTATATTATTTAACCAAGCAGAATACAAAGATTCAGAGTGAGCTATAAAGCTTGTCTGAATAATCCAATGTTGATTTCTACAAAATGCCAGAAATAATAAATTGTAAAAACATTCCAGCTCCACCTGAATCTGCAGAGCACTCTGTTGTCTTCTCATACTCTTCACGACGTCCTGCAGTCGCTGACGGTCTTGCTTCAGATTTCGGATCTCATCTCTTTCCTGCACTTTCAGATCCAGAATCCTCTTCTCACACTGTTCCGACACAAGCACAAGCTTTGCCCGAAGTGGTAGCAGATCCCTAATCTGTTCACGGAGATGCGCTGTGAGTGAGAGACATTAACAAGTTCATCTCAACTAATTTCTTCCTCATCAATAAAAACTGCTCGGTTGTTGCAACCCAAATTTGTGTCAAATATGGACAAACCCAAATGTTGGGTTAAAAATGTAATTAAAAAATTGACAGATTTTAAATGACATTTTTCACCCAACATTTGGGTTTGTCCATATTTGACCCAAATTAGGGTTAAAACAACCCAGCATTGTTTAGAGTGCATTAGCATTTCATTTTATGTTACCATATATTTATCAATTAGATTTCCTCTATTTTACATTGGCATCAGATTGAAGTACTGAGAGTGATCGTCTACGTCTTTTTGTTTAATACAATAAATAGCGTTATCCTGCTTGCACAAAGATTTCCTCCCACAAATAATAAAAAGAGTGTACATACCTAATGTGATGTCATACTCATTTTTGATGGCAGACAAAATAGGCTTATAGGTTTTAAATTCTTCAATTAAATATCCAAAGACCTCCTGATAAACCTTTATAATGCAGAGGGAAAAGCAGAAGAAAAAAAACTGTTTATATATACTATACTACATAAACATAGAAACACACATACGTATGTATATATATGTATTCAGAAAATATATGCATTAAACAGAGGTGATGGTTAAGACTTAAATTCTAAGCTCTAAGCATTCTAAATGCTGTTTTTGAGTTTTTCATCAAGTTATTCATCAAAGAAAAGAATTATCACGATTTTCACAAAAAAATGTAAGCAGCACAGCTGTTTTCAACATTAATAGTAAGCCAATAATAATTTTTCTTGAGCACCAAATTAGAAATGATAAAGTATATATATATATGAAGAGTTCAGATGCAAAAGCCTCTAAATGCCATTTGAAATTTTCTTCTTTAATGATGATTTTTATCAAACTTTTATATTTAAGTTCAGTAATTTCATTTAAATAACAATTAATAGGTAATTATCATTGCCATTTAAGTGAAATCACTGAACTTAAATATACAAGTTTGATAAAAATCATCATTAAAGAAGAAAATTTCAAATGGCACTTTAATAGAGGCTTTTGCATCTGAACTCTTCATATATATAATAAATCAGCAAATTAAAATGATTTCTGAAGGATCATGTGACACTGAAGACTGGAGTAATGATACTGATTTTTAAATATTTCACAATATTACTGTTGTTGTCAAACAAATGCAGCTTTTGTTAGAATAAGTCTTTTTTCCTCAAAAACATCAAAATCTTACCAACCCCAAACGTTTAAACCATAATGTGTGCTAAATAGGGTTGGGAACCGAGAACCGGTTCTTTTCCAGAACCGGTTGTGTTTTTGAAAAAATACCGGAACCGTGCAAAATTCCTAAGTTTCGGTTCCGAAAACGGTTCTGATGCCGATGCGATATCATCATGTGGGCGAAGTGCTGGGAGTAGAAGACGCCGTCTTATTCCTAAATGACAATAACTTCACCACTGAAGTTGCGATTTGCTCTCACACGCGCTGCATTTGTCACACACAGACACACGCACGCTGCGCGCGCCGACCGCCGAGTCACTCTAGCCTACATTCAAATCTGTTTGCGCTGAGAGAGAGAGAGAGAGCAGTTGTCGATATGAAACTGCTTTACAATCACACAGTCTCAATATTTATTTGTTTCACATATTCAAATGATTTCCGTTACAGAATTAGTGAGATTATAGTTTGAGTAAACATTGACGGTAGTGGTCAAAACAGATGCAGTCCGTATATTTTTTTGTGTTCAGAATTTACAAAATATATACAATGAGCGTGTACATCATATTTTTTTTTTTTCAAACCGTGTTTTTGTCTTATCTTGAATCACTACGTAAAGCCTGTAATAAGCGTTAATACTCGGACTTCTTTAGACTGGCCGGCGGATCGCAGCAGCTGCGGAGTAGCCCAATGCCTGCGTGACTCGTCATGGACATAAACAGAGAGAAGTAGCTCCGGCAACAATGTTCTTCCGCAAGACGCATGCAGTTCTGTTTATTAACTGCTAGAGCGCCGATTTATCCAGTAATGAAATAAGTAAAGTCTTTATAAATCAATCATTCAAACCGTTTTAAAAAATAATCTGTTCTACACACATATGTGTGTGAAAGCATATTCTACTCCTTCTGAGAGGGTATTCTTCACTGTTGGAGATACAATAAAGGAGAGGTCTAAATTATTATAGAGAATGCAGAATTTTTTAATTTCCTTATATATATATATATTTATTTTTTTTTTGCAAAGATTGCTTAATAATATTTTGAGTTTGTTTACATTACCAGTCTGTTAAACTAATTTGTCAAGTACTATAAGAAATAAACACGAAAAGGATTGTGGATTTTTCTCTTACTAATATTTTTAATTGAATGGGAACCGGAACCGGAATCATTTGGCGGAACCGGAATCGGAACCGGAACCGGAAAATTTCTCACGATTCCCAACCCTAGTGCTAAAGCACAAGAGACTAATGCAAAGTGGGATATAAACCTGCAGTCGGAGCTCTTGGACTTTGGGGCTGTGTGTGTCTAAAGCTTCTAATTCTCTCTTGAGATGACCCTCCAGTTGCTCTAAGAAACGAGGCTTGGCAAGAGATCTGCAGCACATTATGTATGACATTAGGAACAAGACATTGGCATTCAGAATAGACATGGAAAAGTCAGATAAGATGACTAAGTTTCAAAACAATTGTATAAAACTTTTTTATTTAAAACTATAAAGATTTACAACTACATTACTAAAAATGAACACTGGCTATGTGTTGTACTATACCCATGAAGTATTTTTTCTTTAGGCTTTTGGACAATTTGATTGGTAGCTTCAGCAGGCGAGGATGAAAGTTCACTGGAGGTTTCCCCTCCTTTGGTCTGAGGGAAAATGAGAGTGATCCAGCATTATTGGGCATGTGATGGTGGTGTCAAAACAATACAAAGTAAATGTCTATTTTTAGCATTAATAAACCAAATAAGCCAAATATATGTTACTAAATCCAAGTCACACTTTATATACTGTAAACCGTTAACAGTATAGATCCATATGTAAGTCAGCTAGCTATCAGTGCATGACTGGAATACTATCAAATAATATTGTTTTTTGTGATTAAAATATTGCTGTCAAATCGATTAATCGCATCTAACATTAAACTAATAAAACTAAAACTAACCAGCAGGTTGATTACTTACTTTTATAAACGTTGTCCTAGACATCCTGCCAGTATTGTGCCTATGTGATCCTCTGCTATTGCTGTCATCATTACATGGAAAGTGAGACATAACATAGATTACAAGACAGACAGCTTCAACTAGTCGATTACAAGCAGTGACAGGAGATGTTTAAACAAATATTGAGATATTACATTAAATATATGATTAAAATAATGATTTAAAATAATAAAAAATGTGATTAAAATAGAGAATAAGGTGGGGAAATGGTAATCATTAACATATTGTAGGGAATTGTATAGATTTTAATGAACTTACAAAAACATGTGCAGATTTATACACAGACACACACTCAAAAAGGAACACAAAACGCAAGGCTCGCAAAGGACGGAAAAATGCCTGAACCTGAAGTCGCATGGTTATGTGTCGCAAGTTAATGTCACAAGGTTAGTTCATTGGAAAGAACCCAGATTGCTCAAGGATGGAAAAAACCCAGAGTGTAGAAGGAACAATGTAACCCAGTTCAGTATAAATATGACTGCTCTTTCGCTGCTAGTTGTTGCATCCTTGATCGAGATCTTTGCGTGCATCCCTGAAGGTAATTACTCTTCAGTCCAGTTTACTGGAAAGGTTTTTGATTTAACTGCTCTGCTGTAAACTTTTAACTTGATACGCTCTGAACGAGACCAAGTTACTTTTTCATCTATTGCTTGAACTGTGTACTAGGTATTTGATTCTTGTAATTTTTTTTTTTATTATTAATGCAATGTTAATAAACAGAACAAGACAAGACATACAAGCAGTAAACAAACTATCAAAACAAAGAGACATTATGATATCAAATACATTAAGAGAGGAGATATGAAAAGAAATAACATTATTTTACATTAGTCTTAAAGAAAAAAAGAGAAGGAAAGAGAGATGAGGGCATACAAGAAAAAATAAAACATTAAGGAAGAATATTAAACATGCTACAAATTCTAGATGTTTTCATTGCTTTCTTATTGAGAGATGTTGAAATTGTATTTAAATACATCTTCAATTCTTCTTTGAAAAAGCTATACAAGACTGCCCTGTTAAGTTTGGATACACTGAAGTATCATAATCTGTAACCTTTTATTATTTTGCTACAAATACTAATTATTGTGTAACCAGTATTTTGATCGTTTGTATAAATACATTTTCATTTTATAAAGACGGAAGTGTTTTATTTTTTACTTCAGTGTACATGAAACAGTTCTATAAGCAGTAGCTAGTCAGAGCATTAGAATCATTCTTGCGAGATCAAGAAGTCATCAGGACCCCACGGAATCTTCTCCTAGGAGGGTGAGTATGAATTGAATTGATGGTTCTTGGGAATAAGTTATTGTTTCACATGAGTGTAGGGATACACCTAGATTTACTGGTATAGGTTAAATGGGCTATGAAGGATAGTTATACAAAAATTCTGACCTGACAGCAAAAGGCCACCTGGCCACTTCGATACCAGGGGCTCTTCAGGAGTTGAGGTAATACCAGATCTCACCACAATATACAACTTATTTGAAACGTATAGATGTATTTTAAACAAATATATTGATGTGAAAACATGTTATTGGTCATTTAAGTTACTGATTTAATAGCTTTTTTCCATTTAACTACGGACTTGTTTGTTTTGTAGGCAACTCTAGTTCAGTGAACTAAGCAACTTTAACGATTCTAAAATCTCCTTATATCTTGCCTTTCAGAGTGTAACGGTGGCAGCTGTAGTTCTTTCAGTGACATTTGGACGAATAGCTTTATATTATTCCACAGTAGATTCATCAGCGTACATCCAACTGAAACTTCAGCGGCATGGCATTTGTTGTTGTTTGACAGGTGGTTGCCATGATACCGCAGGACCCTTGAAAAGACCTTCCATGAATAGCTGTTCAACGGCATGCCTTTATGAAAACCAACTCGCCTTGTCGTCTAAAACATCATATGGGTTGCATTAAATTCACGTGTGTATGTTCAAATAAATCACGTTTTTTGTTTAATATTTTAAACGTTAGATTGCTCTGTTATGATTTAACAATTGTCTTTTCCCCTCTTGGCAGTTAACGCTAGGGCTACTGAATTGCACCACCGAGTGTCTTGTTTTTCTAAAACAAGCGTCTCTTTTTTACTCAACTTGTTGAACAAAATGTCTTGATCATTGACCGTAGGGTTAGAAGTGACCTTGCTTTTGAATATACGAACGTGCTTTTAACTGTAAACATGTCATAAACTTAGTATTTTCAATGAAAAAACAACAACATTATTCTTTAAATCATAATTATGATAATTCTTTAAAACTAAAAACTAATGTAATGCATATGTTTGAGCCATGATGAACAAAGTTTAAACGAGTTTCAGTTATTAAATAATATATCAATGTGTTTTTATGTCAGGCGATACAGCCAAATATGGATATAGTTGTACCACCTGACAGGGAAAATGTACCAACCCTACCCAGACTTGAAATGAGCAGTGTTTACCAGTATTTGAGAGATCTACAAACCTTTTCACTCTGCCACAAGGATCAGTTGGACTCCTTTGGATGATGCATTATAATATTTATTATCATTAGCTTGTCAATTCATAATAAAATAGTTTGCAGTTGTGCCACTCTGACATTTGAGAATATACAAATTGTTGGACAAAAGTTATTCAATTATCTCAACATCTTTAAAACTACTGATATTTATAAAACGTGTTTATATGGATTAAAACCTAAAATGATGCCATATTTAGTTTTTAACTTTGTATTATTAGGACACCATTTTAAATAGTTATTTTTGTTAATTTGTTCACCACCTTGAAGTTTTGGGGGTAACTTTAAGATAGGAAAACACACAATAATATGTATTATTTACATGTACTAAAAAGGAATTCAAACTAAATTGGTTTTAAAGAGTAACGTGATATATGTCATTAATTTGTCAAATTATTTTAAAAGACAATAAAGTACTTGGACAAAAAATATGCACACCATGTTATGAACCCTAACACAGAAAACAATCAGTACACTTAAAATAAGTCAAGTCAATAAGGTAAAACTACTGCTTCACAGACCAAGAGTTTGGGACAAGGATTACATGAAGTCTGTTACATAAATAGCTGAAAGTGAGAGAATGATATGCCCGAGTCTAGTAGTGGGATGAATTTATCACCACACATTTTAATAAATGACAAACCACCGAGTCACTGATTCGAGATTGTTTCATTTCGAAATTGTTTACTTTCATACAAATCAAGTAGCCACATACATAAAAACTACAAATCCTAGCCTGCGTTTTACAGCCCCAGTTGAATTAGGTATGGGTCATGTAGTTGACGGCACTTCCCTCATGTCAGCCGCGTGCACTGCGCAGGCTTTGTGTTCGACTACAGTACCCACACGTCACTGTCGAGAGCGAGCGAGCGAGCCGCTGTTATCCGGGGAAATCTCTCTCTCCCCGCTGCTGTGTGTGTGTGTGTGTTTCTCCTTAGTCTAGCGCTGTCTCCTTTTTAGCGGATTGGCACAACAGGGTAGGATTACTAGAAGGAATACAAAAACATAAGCAAAAAATGGCAGAGCTTGGAGTGGGGAGCCTGCTAACAGGAGATCCTGCTTTTAATTATCAAGAGCATGAGCTAAGCGAGCGTTTGAAGCGACTGTACCCGGCCGTGAATGAGGAAGAGAACCCCTTACCCCGATCTTGGAGCCCCAAGGATAAGTACAGCTACATCGGGCTCTCACAGAATAATCTGCGGGTGCATTACAAAGGTATACAGATGTGACACATGCTCAACTGTCAACCCATAGGCCTTGACAATCCCGTCTGCACTCGAGTGTGTATGCAATCTCCCCGATCTAGTTTGAGCTGTGTTTTTCCGTCCCCTTCTGCTTTGTTGCATAGTAGGAAAGAGGAATGTCCAAATGGGTTGACATTTAGCAAACCGTCATGTCAGAATTCGGCTAGCGAGAGTAGCTTGGGGCATAAGCACGACTGGAGGGTCTAGCTTTTTGGACACCTAAGTTACCTTTTACCTATTGCCATGTCAACAACATCAAGTGTTATTGGTTTGCCAAGCTTATGGTTTAAACTCCCTTTCGGTAAATTAGTCGATGCTGGGGCTAGCTAGCCACGGCAGGGCAATATAAGGGCAGCTAAGCAGCTACACTATTGCAATGAATTGCAAATGATTGTTTAGTTTACTCCGCATTGCATAATTGCATTTGTTATCCGCTGTCGGGTGATTTATATAAGGACGCGCGGCGCGTTCACAACGCAACAAACAGCTGAAAATGTTTATTTATTCATCTTGTTGTTGCTGTGCTCATGATATATTTGACGCATTTGCATTGACGAACAATATCGAATTCGAATCGTTCGAATTCGCTTTTATAATGAATTCGAATTCCACAACACTAGCTGTTTAAACTGTTGTGGCTTTTCGAATGACCCAGTCGCCTCAGGGGGGACTGTGAATTTACCCAGTGCAGATGTACTTTTTTGTTTACATGCTTCTAGTAAATGGTTAATAAAGCAGTCTAATTTGAGAACTATCAGTCTATTTAGAGCGTAATGTATAAGCTTTCAATGGTTTTGGCAAGCTTATTTTAAAATATTCTTTCAGGCCGAGTTATATCTATTTTTGTAGAACCTATCATTTGATTACTGCTGAATAATCATTAGACATACATTAAACTAGTCATCATTCCAGTAGTGACTATTGTCTATTCAGTTAGTCCCTAATACTTATTATTTATTAGTTCTCCTTTGCCTTTAGTCACTCCCAAGTACCTTGTGTTGTTGCCGTTAACAAATTGCACATTTTTGCCGTTGAATTCTATGGGAATCTGTAGTTTACATATCAGCTTGCCCTATTCATTTCAAACTGGAGTTGTGTCAAGTCACCTTCATTTATATAGCACTTTTAACAATCAAAGCACCTTTACATTGATAATCCCGTTCATTCGCACAACAACGCCTTTTAGTCATCAAAGGTGTTTCCTCGACGAGGCAGTGCCTCCTCAGAAAAATTGGAAGAGAAAATAACCCATAATACAAAAATAAAAACAATGCAACAAATATTACAAAATGTGACATTACGAAGTTGATAAATCACGTTTTTCTAAAGTAACAGTGTTCAACAGTGAAACCAGAAAGCAAAGTTACAGCGGGAGGCTGAGCCCTTTGACTTTCAACAGACCCCCAAAGCATATACAGTAGGTTTAGTGAGGGGTAATTGAGATTGAACGGGGAAAAGTCTCATGAGAAGAGGTTATGCCTCCATCACGATATTATCATAGAGAGTAAAAGTAATGGACACAGCGACCCCATTGATTTCAACGGAGAAGACTGAAGTATGATGCCTAAGTGACTGCGCAAACTGAGCGTGACGACAGTCTAACAGTTGAAAATCTTCAAGTAGCTGTGCCAAGACAAATCTGAATCACCTAATTCGTCAAAAACATTGGAATATTTTGTCCCGTTGCTTTTATGGAGTCTATTTTTGGGCTTCTCCCTTGACTTTATGCCGCTATGTCCCCCCAATTGCCTCATAGACAGTAAAAGATTGCCTGCGAGCTATACGGTAATGTCTCTATTGTGTGACAGTAAGTCCCGTGGTTATGACACAATCTTTATCCTATCTTTTACAAAAATGGCTTCTACTAGGCCGTAACGTAAGATACAAAGTAATGGAATTTTATACATTGTCGTGTTTCTTTAAAAATAAGTAATGGACAAATTAAGTCTTTGGACTTAAAAAAAACAAAGTTATTCGCAGTCAAAGTGACGCCAAAATGAATGGGAGTCAATGGGATGCTAACAGCAGGTGAAGTTCTGCTACAATGGCAGCTCCCGCGAGGCTTCAACTTCCGCCTGGATTACACTTGGATATTATTGGTCATGGTTGGATATGATTGGCTCGTGCGATAAACACTGCCTCTTGTTTTCGTGCGCGTTCACATATCGATCTAAACGAACAAAATGATGGCGTTAATGGGAAGACTAATTAAAAAGCAAGTAAATAACTCGGTCACTTAGATTTCACCACTTTAAGTCAATCAAACTTGAAATGGCCTGAAAACATGATTAATTTTTTTTTTTTTAGTGAGCAATCAGCTTGGTGAAATTACATCATGTCTGTGACAGTGTTTACCAACCTTAATGACTGATTAAAGTAAGTTGACTATTAAAAAGAACAGTGGAAAATAGTGTTATGTGGTTAGTTATTGTTTTAGATTAAACTTAAAAATTGGTTTTAATAAAAAGAACAGTTATTATATCGTATAGTTAATGAATAGAAAATCGAATTTATTTTTCCTTTGTTTTTTCAATTAGGAAAATGTTTCAACATTAAGATTAACTGGGACATGAATTCATATTTGGTTTATTAAAAAAAGCGTCAGGAGTATGTGCTGTAATTGTTGCTAGTGTAATTTAATAGTAACAATTTGTTATGTACTACTACTATTATTACTTATTCTTTAGTTAGTTTAGTTGTAACAATATAGTTGCTAGTCCTAATGCTTATTGAATAGACACATGCATTTACTAAACACAAGTGTGCATTACAAATACTTTTGCTTGTGTAAACTTGCTAGTATGTTTTTTTTTTCACAAAGTAGCTACCTTGACTTGTAATATAAATTGACATTTAAAAATCTAAGTGATGTCTTAATAACAATGAGCTCTTTTGTTGTAGCATCTATGTGAATTATTAGGCTTGTAAAAAGGCTGTATTGTGTTGTCAGTTGTCTGACAGATTACTGAAATGTTACCAACATGTACCCTGGTTATTTTTAGTTTAGGCACAAATGCGGTTATAATGCACCTAATTCTGATTATAATGTTGTGTGTATGTGGGCCTGTTGTCTAATACTTATACCACTGAAGGTCACTTGCCTTTTGTTTAGTCTATAGCTGTTGTTAAACACACAGTATGTTTGTTAATGCCCAGGCCCAGTAGGAAGTTTATCCTTGAAGTTTAGTTCACCCCCTTTGACCCGACAATGAACAACACTGCATTATTTTGGTAATGTACACTGCTTTGTGTCTGTGGAAAATTGTACCTCATTGGCCACTATCCTCTTTCGGGCTATGGGTATGTTTACCACTTCATATGGCGGCTGATGTTTGCCAGTTATTGGTTTTTTAGGAGTCATGTGATATTGATACACTGATATTGATACACTTTTGTGTTTTTTTTGTTCTGTCAGCCTGACTGTTTGGTCCGTTTATCCTCAAAACAGGATTGCTGTGATTAGATTAGGAAAAAACAAAGGCTTGTTACTATAATCTATTTTTTAAAAGAGCCATTATATACATCTTTAAATATATATTTAAACCAGCTCCACTTAATAGATCATTTAACCTGCAGTCTATTAACCTTCAGCGCTATTTTAGCCAGTGTACCAGATTCGGTTTCTGTAGAGTGAATTTTTTGTTCTCAAGTGAAGACAATAGATATGTGCTGTCAAATATTTTTATGAAAAATGATATCAAATTATGTGGCTCTTCATCTTTATTTAGGATGCATGACACAAAAAAAATCACTCTGTGCATGATGAAACAAGTGGAAAAGACATGAGAGGCACATTCTCTGTCTTTGTTCGCAATGTGGACCTCATTTTCCACATTGTCACACTGACAAGGACATGAGTCCCCATGCAGATTTTGCAGTGCACTGCTTTTACACCACCTCCTGTGAAAAGATTAAGGCAAGATGAATAGATAGAAATATATCTTAAGCCTAGATTGTTTCCGTGTGGTTCGGTGGACTGCTATCTATTTCCTGTGTGCATGCTGTTGGACTCTGTTTCCTTTAAGCTCATTGTAATATTTGCCTATAGAGGGATTTTGCCTGTCTGAGGAGCCAATCATGCATGTTTAGTCGGTGCGGTGACATCATCAGATTGTGTTCGTTTCCCCCTAGTGTCTCTGTGAAGCTGTGAAACCCTGTTTGCTAACACTAGCACAACACTCCCGATCTTCTCTCCCTGTGTCTTTGTTCACTCAAACTGCAGTGATGTTATTATGGATGCCAGCTGTAGCCTTGTACAGCTCCCACATTTCCCTTAGATGTTTTGTCAGAGAGACCCTATAAAAAAAAGGAGCTTTACCAGATAGCAGTGTAATTCTGTGAGGCTGGTAGATTTTTTTTTAAAGCTGCAGTCCACAACTTTTCCTCTTTGTCGCCATCTCTGTTCGAAATCTGCAATTGCAGTTATTCGCGGAATTATCATTCGCGGATGAACACAGTGTTTTGAGGCGAGTGCTGCCGTCAATCACCGCGCTGTGTGGATAGATACTGTCATACAGAATCACAGATTCACTTTTTGAAAGTTTAACCAACGTAAGAATTTTTATCGGAACAAGTAACATCCACTTTTGTTCTGATCAACTAGGGGGGAAAAGCATTCGACATGATAAAATTCGTTAGATTTAATCAACGTGATTTACAGCAACCGCGCAAATTGTAGCCTACTATGTTCTCAAATTGTTCATGCTAATAACATCAGCATTGCGTGACTAATGTTAAATTTAATGTGTTTTATGGTTAGCTTTGTAGTTCAGATTTCATATTCTCCATTAAAGCAAAACGAGAAAGGCACAACAAAGGAAACTCCATAACTGTGTGAATTAAGAAAACGTACTGTTACGCGATTGAACTATTGAAATGTCTTACTTGTTCAGGAGAAAAAAGCCGTCTCTTCTTCCGTTTTGAACCCCCTCAAACACGGAGTTCACGCACTTTTCAAAAGCGCCGCCGATGTTTAAATCCTTGTGTTCGCATGAGACTTTTTTTGTCTTTCCCTATCCACCTTAAATCCAAAGTACGAAGTCTTTTGGGTTTTATAGTATGTTTGGATCTTTTTGGATGCTATAAGTTTAATTATGTAAAGTGCTGCGAGAAAAGCCTATACATCTCTTACATCTCCTCATGCGCAGCTAGCCGAAACTCCTTCTTTTTGTGTACGGGTGTGACGTAATGACGCAAAGACATGCTCGAATTTCCCGCGGAAACCCACCAGTACCACTGGAATTAAAATCATTATAACAAGCTAACCGTTTTGAATCTAGCTATGGCAAGCAGATAGTTTTGACCACTGGCAGAATGTTTTTTTTTATATATATATATATAATTATTTTGGATTATTTTTAACTTAAAAAAGTTACGGACAGCAGCTTTAAATAAGTGTATGAATATGTCATTTAACCAACCATTAATTTACATATTTTTCTTAGTCATACTTCACTCCATATGAAAATAAATAAATAAGTGTAAGATCATGCATGTAAACTCTCACCCTTGTGTCAATACTGGAAATTATGTGTCCTAAAGGTGTTATCAAATTACTGGCTCATCCCCATTTTAAAATAAGAGAAACGTGAGGCACAAAGCAGCTAGCGCAGATGCAGAACATACAATAAAAAATGTCCTACACTGGATTAGAGCAGCACTTTAAGATGCACCAGACATGATTATGCACTGCAGAGGAGGACTCTGTATGAGAGCTGTTTGTGTTTTGTGCATTAAACATGTTTGGCAGAGAAATAGAGGGAGGGACAGACAGACAAGCAGCTAAAGAAGGAGAGAATCACCCAAGGTCCTCTTGCTGTTCTGTGCTCCCAGAATGGTTTGGTCATGGCATGATGTATAAATAGATTGAGTGTGTGAGCAGGGGGCGGGGAGGAGCGTGCACACGTATGTGCATTTGTAGTGTGTGTGTGTTGAAAGAGAGAGTCGGGGATTTGCACATAAAGGGTCGTCTGCCTTTACTCTGGTTGTGTGAGCCACGAATATAAATAGATTTTGTGTGTTCTTGATTATGAATGCTTGTCTGGGTTTGGCAGACAAACCGATTGTGGCTTGATAGCAGAACTTGATCCTAAAAATAAAAGTGATTCACATTGTTACAGTTAATTGATGATGAAGTGTAAATAAAAACTTAGTACATAGCCTAATTTCTTACACACACGTGTGCTTATGCAGTAGCACCAAGATATGGTGTTCTGGAATCAAACTGCAGATGTGGGTTAAGTTACAGGTCTGAGGCACATAAACACAAAGATACGTTCACACGGAGAAGTTAAACATGAGACTCTTGAAGTGCAGTGAGGTTTGCGTAAATGATTGGCTCAGGAGGCAAGCCTGGCCTCGCAGAATCTAATACTGAGTGTCTATTAATGCTGGCAGGTGTTAGCAGCAACCTGCAGGAAAATGGATTAGGAGATTGGAGCACATTGCTATGGTACATGGAGGCTTAGACGGCAATGACACTCACTTCTCACAATTGAAATGAGTGGAAATGTTGAAGTCAGAGTGTATTAGATGTCAACTTTACAGACTACATGAAATGCCGTTCATAACCAGTTTGGTTCCCTGACCTTTTGAGTTAAACCGGATGAGAGTTGATTCAGGCTATGCCTCAGAAATAACTTGGTTTTATGAAAACGGGCTTACCCAATTAGAATGGACCAGTGCAGTTTGAAGTGGGAGGAGCTCAAAGTAGAGGAGGAAAGTTGTTTCAGAGTGTCAAGTTGTTATATTTTTACAAAAGATCAATTAATCACCAATTAAGTACATCAAGACTTAAAGGCACACTACGCAGGAATTCTGTTTTTGTCAAACAGCGACCCCTAGAGTCGCTGTGGAGAACTTGTATTTAAAGGAGTAGTTCACTTTTGAAAAAAACTTTTGCTGATAATTTACTCACCCCCATGTCATCCAAGATGTCCATGTCATTCTTTCTTCAGTCGAAAAGAAAGTAAGGTTTTTGATGAAAACATTCCAGGATTTTTCTCCATATAATGGACTTCAATGGGAACCAAACGGTTCAAGGTTCAAAAGACAGTTTCAGTGCAAACTGCAAACTGTTCAAAGGGCTTTAAACGATTCCAGACGATGAATAAGGGTCTTATCAAGCGAAATGATCGCTCATTTAAAAAATAAATAACAAAGTTTAAGTTTTAAGTTCAAAATGAATGAATCTTTTACTGAGTCATTTGGTTCTTTCAACGAACGAACGAAACAAACGAATTGTCTGCTGTTCAAAGGGCTTTTTGAAAACAACTGGAGAGTGTCTGTTGTCGTCAACCATCATGACCTATCCCTAGCTGAAAACCCTTGTCCCCTTAAAAGCTTTGTTGTTATTTATGTGGACAGTCATCTATATTAGAGGGTGTGTTTGGTCAGTGACTAATTTCTCTCAATATTTCCGTCTTGCTTTAGGCCACGGAAAAAACCACAAGGATGCAGCGTCGGTTCGGGCCACCCATCCCATCCCCGCTGCTTGTGGCATCTACTACTTCGAGGTGAAGATCGTAAGCAAAGGAAGAGATGGGTAAGTGCAAATAGCTTCTGGTTGAAGGCGTGATGTGTTACAAGATACAATATTTGTTTATAATTTCAAAAGATACATCACGGGAAGCATTTGAAGAGAAGCGGTATCAGGTCTGTTTTAAATATAGTGGGGTTCGAAAGTGTGAGAGCACATTGAAAATCTAGGGACAATATTACCTTACGGTCTGTACGGTTCACTCGTTTTTTTGGATTTAACATTGAAAGTAGAAAAACGAGAAAACAGTTGCTTTTTCGTCTTTTAATTTTTTCGAAGAAAACGAAAAACAAGAATTCAACTTAATTTTTCGTTTTTTTGTTCTCAGGTAGAAACATTTATAAACAGCTTGAATATTCGATTTCTACAATTTCCTCTGATTTATCTGCCGAAGATCAAACTGTTCCGTCATCAGTTCTTCCTCAATTCCGGGTATTGGAATTAAAAAAACGAAAAAGAAACTGTTTTCTTGTTTTTCTACTTTCAATATTATATCAAAAAACAAATGGACGCACTGACCCCTTACGTATAAGGTCAAATTAATAAGTAATATTTAATTTTCAGCACTATTTCTATAGTGCCTTGTAAATTTGTGGCACTGATCATGTGATTCTTTGTACAGATGTTCAGTTGTTCATCCACTTTAGACCATTCTCAAATCAGGTTTTACTCAAACTTATGGTTGCTCATTAAAGCAAAATTATGCACCAAATACTAAGATATTCTGAAATTAATGAAAAGGTGTTTTCACAGTCTCAGAATGATAAAGAATGATAATGAAAAGGGGTGGTGATGGCGCAGTGGATAAGGCACATGCCTTTGGTGTGAGAGACCCAGGTTCGACTCCGCTGTGAGACACCAATGTGTCCCTGAGCAAGACACTTAACCCCTAGTTGCTTCAGAGGCGTGCGACCTCTGACATATATAGCAATTGTAAGTCGCTAAATGAATGAACGTCAGCTAAATGAGTAAATGAATAAATGTAAATGTAATTGCTCTGAAACCATGTGTCATGCTTGAGTCAGTAGTTGGTGTTTGTCCTTCCCTCGGTTTGAGGATATCATTGTCCAAAAATAAATGGAAAAGGGTCCCACCCTTTCCTGTGACCACTTTGCAATGTGATTACTAAATATATTCCAGCAGGATTGCTCCTGTTCTACTAGGTCATCTAACTGCAACTTCCAGGTTGTGAGTGACTAAAAAGAGTCGAGTCATGCCTTAGAACTCTGTCCCAGACTCACTTGTGGGAAGGGGCTCTTCAGTCCAATCACCATTCATTTTATTATATTATTTATTTACAATATTATGTTATTATTCAGTATTATTTAAAAAGCTTGATTCTTGTATTTTATTTTTAAAGTATGGTCACATTTACTGTTATTCAGCAAATTTCATAAGTGAAATCCAGCCATTTTGCAACAGGTTCAGGTTGGTCATGTATTCACAACGTTGACCAACAGAAAGGTTATTTATGCAGGGCAAATAGTTCCTTTTTTTGTTTAATTCTAGACCTTTAAAATGGTCTGTCACTAAACCCAGTTGAATAGTAACTTTATCAGGAGCTTAATATGTGGTTTAAATACAGTTTCAGAGATTATCAGTGACAGTGTCCTAATTTTTTTTTAGTAAATTTGTCCTCTCTCTCATTGGTGTTTCCAGGTACATGGGAATTGGACTGTCTGCCCAGGGGGTAAACATGAACAGACTGCCTGGTGAGTTTGTGAGTGTTTGTACTTGTATATACACGAAAGGGATGATGTGCTCACTGTGGGTATCTCATTGTCACGTTATGAGATTTCATTTCATGAAAAAGATATATATCACAATATGGTTATTTTTGTATTATTTTATCTCATTTTTGTTATTGAAAATAAGAAAAAAGAAGCAAATCAAACAGTTGGACAAATAAAATAAAGCAAAAATATGAATTAAACAATTTTTTTTTCAGATATAATAGATTTATTTAATATGTAGTCTGAATTAGTACAGACATTTTTTAATAGAATATATATATATATATATATATATATATTGCGTAGTCTTAACTGTATGAATTAAATTTAAATGTATTTTTAATGAGAAATTGAACAGGTGTTCCTAATAATCCTTTAGGTGAGTGTATTGTCATACCGCCCTGCCCTGACCATGGGTCATGGTGAACTGTAGGTAACTGAAGAATGATGAGTCAGTCCATTTTTGTAGCTTTAAAAAAATGCTTTATGTAGATATACATATTAAAATAAAAAAAATGAATTGTATTCATAACATATTTTAATTCTGGCAGAATATGGTTTCATCCATTGAAAATGGTTGGATTGTGTGAAGTGGGTGTTACATACCGGAATGGGGCCATGTGATTGGATGGGAGGGAATCTTTGAGCCAAAAAGTAAAGTTGTTAATGAGGAAGTGCTTTTAAGATAAAAAGACAAGTTGTAATTATGAACAGAATTTTTTTTTTTTTTTTTTGCTCACGTATAAATCTGTTCATGAAAAGGCCAGTGGTGACATTACGATTCACTTTTAAGTATGGTCTTGTAGCTTAAGATCATTTGTCTTCTACTTTAAAAAAAAAAAAATCCTTTAGTCAGTTAGACTGTAATTCAGGCCATGAACATGCCTCAGCATGTCCTGAAAAAACACTAGCTGTGAGAATGACCTTGCAAATGCATAGAATCCAGGGTTTTTCTTTCTGTGCTCCTAAATCCCAGGAAATAACTTTTGTAATGTGTTTTTTTTTTTCCCTCATGAATCCTCAAAGGGAAGGAGAGGAGACCTAGATCTCATTATTGGTTTTCCTCAATGGATTTTACCTGGCATACAGAATGTTCTGAGATCACAAAGCCTTGTCATAATTATTCATAGCTAAAAGCTAAAATTAATCAGAGAAAATCTTTTCATTCTGACAGAGCATCCATTGACACAGCAGAGGACATCAACTAGTTTTAATTGACTAACTGCAGTGAGAAAAGACACCATAACCAAACAAAATCCAGTTTGATGGAAAAATACAAATGAAACGTGTGCACATTATCATAATGCAGAATGTTAAAAAGTAAATGTGACTGAATACTATAGTATAGAGCCAGACCGATAAAGGATTTTGAAGGCCGATACCGATACAAATATTTGTTGGTTTTAAAATCCGACATATCGGCCGATATTATTATTATTTTTATTTCAGAAACGCGAACAAAACATTAACAGATTTCCCTAACATTAGTTATTTAAATATGAGTTTTAATTAAAATAATATGATGATGCATTTTAAAAAGAAACTTTTTATTGTCACAACAGAACGGAGGAACATCAAAATATATTAAAGTTCTGATAAATAAAATAATAATTAGTCCCTACATTGCCTTATAGTTATAAGCTGTCAGCTTGCTTATCCCTTTACCTGCACTTTTTGACAACACTCATGACATTCGTCCATTTTTTATTTTATTTTTGAAATATTAATTTATCGGCCATTATAACTGCCGATACCGATATTTTAGAAAATGCCTAATATCGGCCGATAATATCTGCCTGCCGATATATCGGTCTGGCTCTACTATAGTACGTGGAACATACTCCTCAACCTCAGTTAAGCTGACACTAATTAACATGCAATAATAATATGCAAGTAGACAGTAATGCATTTTAGGAGTGTGTAGAAACATAACAGTACACATTATCTTTGATTTATAAAGCAATACTTGGATGCTTATCCTACATGCTTGATGAAAGTTGAAAAGTAAATATACACTACTGTTGAAAAGATTTTTTCAAAAGTTCTTGAAAGAAGTCTCTAATGCTCAACAAGTAAAACAGCAATACTGTGAAATATTACAATTCAAAATCATTTTTTATCATGTAATTCATTCCTATGATGGAAGACCTGAATGTTCGGGTTGCTGATTTGGGACTCAAGAAATGGGACTCATTTCTTATTATTGTCAAAGTTAAAAAAATGGTTGCGCTGTTTAACGTTTTCTGTGGAAACCATAATACATTTATTCAAAATTCTTTTAGAAATGGAAATATTCAAACATTTGAACAATAGTGTATATTGTATAAGAAAAAAGGCCTGTATTTTAGGCCCAGTTGGTTTAATGTCACCCTCCTGTGAGCCCTCTGACCAATCAAGTGACTTTGTCAATTGCTTGTTAGCTTCTCCACTGTGCCTGATGCCTTTGAAATGCTTTGGAGCAATCTAGCCAATTCGGCATGTGCGTGCTGACTACAAATTGTGTGTTCATTGACCTCTGTGCTCTCTGCTTAAACCACTCTTTGTCAGAGCGCTTTGGAATATAGTGGAAATATAGACAAACGCATGTTGGGTGGCCAATGTATTTTCCAATGTATTTGTACAACCAACAGCAAGATATTAGTTCTCTAGTTTAGTTTTAGGTGCTTTATATATACATATCATGACACAAACAAATGTATACCAATGTTTAAATGTGATCAAATGTCTATAAGGTATTTTTTCTATGCTCACTTCTAATATATCTAGTCTAATATTTATATATTTTTCTCTCTTTCTCTGTTTAGTTCACTTGTTTTTTTCAAATAACTAAACATCCCATGATTCCAAAACACTTAAATCAGTTAAAGTCATGATGTGTGGTTTCCTATGAGAATGTATATGTTTGCATGTGTGTGCAGTCTGAGCGTAATGGTTTTACACGCCCCGCTGACCTCCGTGTCTCTGATCCCATACTGGAGTTCTGCCCATTTCATTAGCATGAAGGGAACACTGAGCTCTGCTTTAGGAGTAATATCCCAGCCTGCATTGCTCTGCAGATTAATCTAATACCTCACAACAAGCCCCCACCAGCCACTGCCTTACTTCCTAATTTTTTCATTCTTTTTGCATCTGTCTGTCATTCACAGAACACACTTGTTTACTCCATTTCACGTAGTGACTGTAAATACAACACCATTTTTATCATGTACTAATCATAACGGTCTGCCAACACACATACAATTTTGATTCAGTTCAGTCCAGTCAGTGAGGTAGGTAGACACACTCCTCATCTTGGTGGTGTTCAAATTGTTCAAATGGTCTTGTTAAATTTACACACAGGCTTGTCCAGCTGCCCCTTGAACGAGCTTCAGGGTGGACGAAGTCTTTAAAGGACTTTTTTGTTGTTATATCCAATTTTTTAGAACAGCTGGGAAGATAACATCATCGGGCGGGAGGTGCATCAGTTCCTCAGAGGAAGGGGCTCAAATGAAAAAAAGGATATAAATGAGGCCATCTAACAGCCTACGTTTCATATTATCGGCCTGTAGATGGCACTTAGACTTCATTTAACCAACATGATAGTTTCATATTAAATATACCAGATGTAAATAAGACTTAAAGGGATAGTTCACTTTGAAATTAATTTGTTGCAATGTTGATATTTTTAGGTCAAACCGTTCTTGTCTGTCAGTCATATAATGGAGGTCTATGGTCACCACCTCAAAGAGCATGCACAGAAAGTCCAAATTAAACATGATTTAATGACTCGTGAATGTAAGTACACATTGATGGCCTGAGACACGAAATGAGCGGTTTGTGTGAGAAAACGAACAGTATTTATATAGTTTTTACCTCTTGTAACCACAGCCATGTTCAAGTGATCTGAGGGCGCGGGCGCTTTGTGGCTGTGGTAATGACGTAAAAACGATATAAATACGGTTCGTTTTCTCACACAGACCACTCGTTTCGTGTCTTAGGCCATCAATGTGTACTTCCATTTACGAGTCATTAAATCATGTTTAATTTGGACTTCTCTATGCATGCTCTTTGAGGTGGTGACCATAGACCTCCATTATATGACTCACAGACAAACGGTTTGACCTAAAAATATCAAAATTGAAACTACTGCGGAAACAAAGACACCTACGTCTTGGATACCCTTGAGGTAAGCTAAAACATACCAAAAATTTATTTCAAAGTGAACTATCCCTTTAATTGAACACTACCATTAATGCAAAACCAGAGATTCAGATCGCTCCACAAACGTAAATATTTGTCCATTCGGGCGATTAATACTTATCCTTTTTCTATTTCACTCCTGTCACCGTTATTAAAAAACTGAAAAAAGACCGATATTAAAGAGAAGATATTACCACTCCACTTCGCATTGTCCAATTAAATTTGAGCTTGTTGTGCCACACCACATTTCGATGGTGTATTATACATGAGAAAATGGTCATCGATGGTTATTCACTTATGCAACATTTTTAAATATCTAAATGTTACGTGTTTAAAGATGTAAAAGGGGATGATTACATAACATTTATGTGAGACACTGTTGCCGGGTGTGGATGCAGGAAAGACAACCAGAAAACATCATTTAAACGTTAAGGAAACGTTTATTCTCCTGAATGAATTAGACATGTTCACTTAAATTATATAACAAATTCGTTAGAAGAAAAAAATAAATAAAATACACGAGAGAAAAGAAATTAGGAAAAACAAGAGTGTCGCCAAATTAATAAAATAAGCAAAACATAACTGATAACTAATTTTACGAATACCCACTAAACTAACTGCACAAAAGGAAAATGTAGAAAGAAACCCGAATTCTTCAGCGGAATAACGCCGCCTTAATTAAACTACGCTAAATAAAAACAGAAATACAATAATGGCGGACACTCCACGCATAACTAACACACGATGATTCCTACCTCCCGTTCTATGATTTCGCAACAGAGAGCTCAATGCTTAAGATGTAATCAGAGCTAGGCATCTCTCAATGTCTTAGCAAAACTCAGGTCCAGGCTAAAGCATTTACTCATTCATTAATCATCAATCATAAAGACATAGCGTAAATCGTGATAACGTTTCGACAATGTGCTCAGAACGCGCAAGTTAGATGAGATCTGGCGAGGATCTGACTTCATCTCTATGAATGGGCCTTTTAACGCCACAGCAGAGCAGTAGATTGGTTGCGCAGATGGTGACGCCACCCACAATCACGTCATGTACCCGCAAACAGCCAATGTTCGATCACCACCTGAAATCAATGAATGGAGACAGAACAGAAACACACACACACAAAAAAACACGTGGAACGTAACAGTAATACATGAATTTTTACTCATTGGCAATCACTGAGAGCCGTATATGGTCCACGGTTCTCCATCCCTTTTGTAAAAAAGACTTGGTGGTTACAGTTATTCATATGCAACTACTGACACAAACTTGTATTTATTTATTATTTACAGTGAGAGGAATAATTACAACTGAAGATTCACAATCTCATCATTTAATGTTGTTTTTAGTACTATTATTATTTTGTATTAATATTCATAATATGTATCTGTTTTATTACATGTATACACATTATTATTTGTAATCTTTGCATTTGTGATTATAGTGTTTTGAGGATGTGGGAGAGAGAGAGACTTTAGGAGACTTTGGGATAAGTTAAACTGTATGAGTGAATGTATGTTGGAGTGAGACTGAAAGTTTATGCAGTGTATAGGGAAACGATATACATTCCATAGTAAATGGAAACCACATGTTCTTGTGGTCATAGGTATGTGTTACTATGGTGATGCAGTTTTTTCTTGGTCAGTAGTATTTAAACTGAGACCCTTTTGTCCGAAAAGCAGGAAGAGATGGTAACGATGCAGAATGAAGACCTCTGTTTCTCTTCCTCCTATGTCTTATAAATATTATAAATAAATTCGAGAGATCTCTTGGCAAAATCACTGGTGTCTCTTTTCATGGGGAAAGCAAAAGAAGTTTTTTAGATCTACAATTTGGCGTCACGGGAACAGGATGCATGTCCAGGCATTTGTCTCAATCATTGCAGGTAAGACTTTTTGCTTTATAAAAAGTTCTAAGTCTGCCTGATGATTAGAGACAGTGACTGAAACTGCTGAAAAGAACTGTGTGATTTTAGGCACCAGTTGTTTTGCCAATGAATATAAGACATAGTAAAATGAATAAAATTAAGTCATTTGAATTGAATTTGGCTTATTTAAGTTCTCTGAAAAGTAAACCTCAAATAATATTTGAAATGCTGGGATAGAGGTGGATCTTTTTTAGAAAAAAGACCATCTAGTCAGAAATTTGGAATTAGCTGTAAAACGGTTAAGCTAGTAAATTTGCTTGGTTATTACTGCGACGTGGTTGGATAGTGGCGGGACTGTTTAAAGAAGGCAGAGTAATCCCTAAAACATCCAGCACACCGAAGATTCGTTCTCAGTAGGAGACGAGGAAAGTTGTAACACAAGTGATACTTGATTGACCAAAGCGGTTAAATGTGGCGGGACTGTTTAAAACGATGGCAGGGTAATCCCTAAAACATTGTAACACGCTAGAGTTATACAAGTATAAAAGGCGCCCTTGTAACTAGCTAGGATCGTGGGCATTCTGAACCTGACCGTAAAGCTGTTCAAATATTTGAGGAGACTGATCCGAGTTAACTTTAAAAAAAAAAAAAAATTAATACCAAAGAAATTAATCTGAGATAAAATCCAAAGTATTTAAAAAGAAAGGGAAAAAGGAACCTTTTAAAACTTTTTGAGTTTTAAAAAGAAAACTAAAATACTGAAAAGCATTAGAGTTAACTTTTCTTTAATTTTTTCTTTTGTTCTGTGAGTGAGGGAGAAAGAGAGCGAAGCAGCCCCTCCCTTCAGAATTGCCTGTACCTTCACACACACACATCCAGTTGGTGAGGGAGAGAGGCAGGGAGCCCCACACACACATACCTATACACACACACAGCCTGCAGCTCTGAGCACACACACATACATATACAGACAGCCTGCAGCTCTGAGCACACACACAGACGCATCACATAGGCTGCAGTTTCTGAACATAGACGCACATAGTAAATCATCACATGTCCAGAGAAGGAAAACACAACCAGTGATGATTTATTTGATCCAGATTGGACAAATATAATAACTGAAGCTGAAAGGAAATATTCACAAGCACTAGTGAAATCTGCGACAACAGTAACACCTCCACCTTACAAACCGATTTATCCACCCTTGCCTGAACAATATACAAGTTCATCTAAACCTCTGACGCAGCCTCAAGCTTCAAGATCAAACGGAGGTCCAGTTGACAAAATGTTTATTGCATCTGCACAAGCAGCTCCAATAATAACGAGATCTAAATCAGCCCAGCCAAGCAGAGACATGATGAGATGTACACCGGCTCATAATTATGGATCTGACTGGAGTGACGAGACAAGGGATGACAACATGACCACAGTTGACAAGATTGGTCCTGAATTTTCTTCACCTGTGATTAAAAGGGAAGAGTCACAACCTGAGATGATGACCGAAGAAAGACCGTTTACTCCGGGAGAACGACAAGCCATTCTCTCAGCCTTACCTCCTCTGAAGAGACAAGATCCAAACACAGAGTTTTGGCGAGAATTAGACTCTCTGGTTGAAGCACATCAAATGACACTAAAAGACATTTACACCATAGTGAAAGTTAAAATCCCAAGAGACCGATGGGAACGCTTGCCAGCAGTGATAACATCAGCCCAATGGGTAGACTTTGGGGTTGATGGCCAGGGAAGACACCTGGGTCTTTGGCAAACATTAGACGAATTTCGAAAAGAAATCCAAGAAATCTTGGGAAGTGGTAAAATTCCATTCACATCAGTGACATTGATTAAGCAAAAGGATGATGAATCTCCAGATGAATATGCTCTGCGTAAGTGGAATGCTTATGAGAGATGGGCTCTCTGTGCTAAGAAACAACCTGACAGAGATGATGTACAATTCACTGACACACTTGTGGATGGGTTTAGCTCTAAATACCAACAAGCCTTATCACTTGGAGTCAATCCAGGCGAAACATTTGACCAAATTATGCAATGGGCTGGCCGTCTAGAGATGGCGATGAGATCAAACAAGGAAGAAGGAAACAAGACAAATCGAGAAGGAGTGGCGACAGCTCAATACAACATGGACATAGAGAGGTGGTTGAAGATTTGCAACAACTGTGGAAAGCATGGACACTTAAGAAAAGACTGTTGGGCTAAAGGAGGTGGAGCAGAAGGTCAAGGTCCATCTTTTAAACAAGTCATTGTGAAAAACCATGATGAAACCTCTCAAGGGAGGACGTGGACTGAAGCACAAGTTCGTCAGCTCATTGAAGGAATTATGTGTAACTAATTACTGGAACAGCAATGGTTCTACTTCCTAATGTTATGCCACCTGCAGAAACAGGAGGAGACTCTACTTTGTTTCAAGAGAAATTAAGATGCTATTTCACAATGCTGGACAAAATTACCAAAGACAATAATAGAAAGTGAATTCAACAGCAATGGGATGAAAACACACCACTACTGACATTCCACACATTCCTGAGTTAGGCAGTTTTGTTATGGTCAAACGTATTCCCAGGAAAGGTTTAGAACCTAGGTGGGAGGGGCCATATGAGGTACTCTTAACAACAGATACAAGTGTCTGCCTAAAAGGGAAGGGTGTAGGAACAGATAGATGGTATCATTGGTCACAAGTTAAACCTTGCTTAGTGAATGAACAAAATGATGATGGCCTATGGTTTAAGATTGAGCAAATCTAAGAATTATTTTTTTTTAAATACTGGGAAAAGTGATGATTAATTGTTTTTCTGTTTCCATTTCAGGAATCAAGTTCATTGACATTAATTAGAGATGGTTAGAAGTTATTCTTGATAAAAGACATTGATAAAACCGAGAATGGAAAATACGGTGTGAGATAGGAGATTTTACACTACACTACTTACAAAACACAACCTCACAAACAATGAACACCCGCTTACTGATTTACAACCCCAAGGGATAGGACCCTTTAACATCAACGTTTATTTTAATTTCTTATTTTGGCTCGGAACTGGAGGAGTTAATTAATTAACGAGTTAATTAATTAATGAGTCCAGGCACGGGCAGAAGACTTTTTTAGTTTTTCTTTTCTTAGATGATTGGGGTTCATTTTAAATGCTTACACATAGATGTTAAATGACACATAGCATACGGGGACATAACATGGGTTGGGTTTTTGTTTGTTATTTCTTTTCTTTTCTGTTTCAATTCTTTTGTCTTCTATGTCTATGTCTTGGTCTACTATTTCTCCTCAGCACTATCACTTCAATAGGTTGGCCACCTGGAGATGATGGTGTGGAACTGACGGCCGTAGTTCCAGAGGAGGGACTGAAGATTCACAATCTCATCATTTAATGTTGTTTTTAGTACTATTATTATTTTGTATTAATATTCATAATATGTATCTGTTTTATTACATGTATACACATTATTATTTGTAATCTTTGCATTTGTGATTATAGTGTTTTGAGGATGTGGGAGAGAGAGAGACTTTAGGAGACTTTGGGATAAGTTAAACTGTATGAGTGAATGTATGTTGGAGTGAGACTGAAAGTTTATGCAGTGTATAGGGAAACGATATACATTCCATAGTAAATGGAAACCACATGTTCTTGTGGTCATAGGTATGTGTTACTATGGTGATGCAGTTTTTTCTTGGTCAGTAGTATTTAAACTGAGACCCTTTTGTCCGAAAAGCAGGAAGAGATGGTAACGATGCAGAATGAAGACCTCTGTTTCTCTTCCTCCTATGTCTTATAAATATTATAAATAAATTCGAGAGATCTCTTGGCAAAATCACTGGTGTCTCTTTTCATGGGGAAAGCAAAAGAAGTTTTTTAGATCTACACAACAAAGAAAAAAATGAGTAAATAGTGGTTAGCAAACAAGCTGTAACGGTCACCAGGTGGAGTGCCCTTGAGAGTCACCAGAGGGCACTCCACACCAGATGTTCATGTTTCCCTCACAACTACGTTTCCCAGAACTCACTGCCCGGACTCATCATCACTGATCACATCCACCTGTACCTCATTCACTGATTGCATTCACCTGTCTCATCATCCTGTTAGTCTGGCTATATATAGACGAATCCGGCGAAACTACCGGAAGTAAGCGGGCGCCATTACTGAGCTGTTGCTGGGTAGCGTTGCGCCATTGCCTCCTATTGTTTTAGTTGCAACTTGCGTCCACTGGAATAAACAGCCCGCGATTTACGACTGTCACTAACGTTACAACGTTATCCCTTGTATAATGTCGAGTGGGTAAACAGTTTCCGTTATAAATTGTTTTAATGGTGGCAGTAAAATTTCAATTTTGAAGAGAAAACACTGTGAATACGGTTGCCGTACAGTTTACAGATTTCCTGGGCGAGTACAAGACGCGGACATTCGCGTATAATAACAATTATTTAATGACATAAGTAAAAAAATATAATAAATATATAGTGATCAGCAAAATCTCCTCTCTTGTTATTTTTTCTATTCAATTTACATGCTATGGTCATTAAATGGCTTTCCTGAGCTGAATGTAACGTTATGTGACATAATTGTTCTCCTGCTGTTATATTGACCTCTTTCCATGGTTTAAAAACAGCAGTTGGTCGATATTATGTATACTTTCTAGCTGTAACGTTACCTTACCCATGCCCGTTGCAATGTAAAAATGAGATAAATAATGGACACAAATGAAAAACATGAAATTGTTTATTTGATTTCATTTATTTATTTATTGTTGCCAAATGGACAGATCTTTTTTTAGTTTCCTCGGTAGCAAACGTTAGCCTAGCTTGCTTGCCAAGCTATTTTCATAAATAATCTGTAAGATCGTTTGTACCTTCATCTGTGACTGGAGGCCAATGTCTAACATCATCAACCCAACAAGTCTGCCTGGCTGTAGCTGTCATCAAGGGTGCGTTATCACCTTATCTCCGAGGTTTGTTTACATACCGGTGCATATGTCTATGCCGGTGTAACAGCTCAGTAATGGCGTCGCCACAAGATGGCAGCCTACACAAGAACGCTCGTCGGATTCGTCTATACCTTGTTCATTCAGTCACTCACCGCGAAGTCTTGTTTAAGTGTTTCACTGCAATTCTGAGCATTCTTATGGTTTTCTGGTCTCTTGGTTTTGGATATCTTGCCCTGTTCCCTGGATTACTCTCTTGCCTCTGGTCCCTGCCTGTTTTGTTTGTTTCTTTGTTTATCTGTTTTGGACTGCCTATCTATTTATGACCCTTGCCTGTACATTGGATTACGCCTCTGGATTGCCCTCAAATAAAGCTGCGTTTGGATCTAAACTTGCCTTTCTCAGAGCAGTGATTCGTGACACAAGCAGTGTCAAAATGCCAGTCGTCAGTCATGTCCAAAGGAAAGCCGTTCAAACTGTCTGACGCCAGATACGTTCACATAAAAAGATTGTTTATGACTTTTGAGCAATTCTTACCTGTACATGTTGTCATATTAATTCCAATTAAAATGCTTTTTGTTTTAATGTCCACAAAATCATTGTTGATAATTGATAATTGCGCCCACATATGCCTGCTGGGGCCCAGCTTTATAATTTTGTCCCAGGGTCCTACTGTCCATATATTGTTTCCAGCAGTATTATCAGATTGGTGCTCATAATTTATGTAAGAAATAGTATTTTATCATGCTGGAGACCAGATGGTATATCAAACGCTGCAGGCTTAGGATAGGCTCTGACTCATTGATGTCAGCACAGATGCAGAAATAAGATTCCTTATTAGCACGCGAATATCTATATATGTGCAATACAATTGGAAATTTCAACATGTACTTAGATTATATATTTTGGTCTGATAATGCTTTTTATCATCCAATAAAAGTCTATTTCAGCATGTTCAAATCCACTTTACAGGATTCTGCAGATTCCCCCCAAACATTGAAACAGGAAATGCAGTTTTTTTTTTTAATCCAAGTGCTGCCGAGTTCAATTACCGAATTTCTCTCTCTCACCTTAGGTTGGGACAAGCACTCCTATGGTTATCATGGGGACGACGGACACTCCTTTTGTTCCTCAGGGACTGGTCAACCTTATGGCCCGACCTTCACAACGGGTGACGTCATTGGCTGCTGCGTTAACCTCATCAATAACACATGCTTTTACACCAAGAACGGACACAGTTTAGGTAATAATTTAATGGGAAATGATTTAAGCATAAATCTTATTAATGCTTAAATCATTAGAAATCAAGTTAGTGGATCAAATTTAAAGTATTTTTCTTTTGTAATCTCTGAATCCACATTTTTTTTGTGTTCCTCCAGGTGTGGCTTTCACAGATCTGCCAGTAAGTAAAGCACACAGACCTCTCTCAAACAGTGTAATCTAAAAGTAAGTTTAAAATAATCAATAATTGAAGTATTATAACATATATATATCAGATCAAACAGTTAAAAAATAGTTTTGTCTTTGCAACTAACTGAAATAAGTTGGAAGCTGAACTACAAAAATGGCTAAAACTGAAATAAAAATAATATAAATATAAGAAATTAGTAAAAATGACACAAGCACATAAGAAAATTACTTTAAATAAAATATACAAATAAAAGCTTGTTTGAAATATTAATAAATACTATACTTGTATATAAATAATAATATAATAACACTGTTCCCATTGAGTCTTAAAAAATGGAAATAAAGTTTATTTGAAAATGTTTGTAATGTATTAAAAAAATGTGGCTATAACTTTACGCCTATATTGTCTCCTCGTCATGATAATTAAAAAATGGAAATAAAGTTTATTTGAAAGTGTTTGTATTAAAAATCACCTCAGAATTTTAGGTTTACAGTATGTTTATTTACATTTACTGGTAATATAAGGTAACTACGTTGGTTTAGGTTAGGTAGTACCTAGTTATAACCCAGTTATTGTAATTACTATAATAAGTACAAAGTATATACATGCGAAACAGGACTCTAAAATAAAGTGCTACCGACTTTTGGATGTAACTTTACGCTTATATTGTCTCCTCATCATGATTTTTATTTTTTGAAGTCGGGTCTTCCATCATCCCAATGGATCTTCTTATTGCAGCACTTCATGTTACTCTCCCCTTAAAATGAATGGCTTGTACTGTAGCTCTGTGTCTGTTAAATGAATACCAGTAACAGTAGATTGATAGTGCTAGTAATGAGCTCAGATGAGGATTTACGGAGCTTCATTTGAGGCTTTGCCAGTTAAGGTGTGACTGAATGATTCTTTGTGCTGAGAATTCCTGATGGAGAACGTGGAGACCTTCTAAGCAGTCTCTCAGCTCTCTCTTTTGTCTCTCATTTCAGCCTAACCTGTACCCCACAGTAGGGCTGCAGACTCCAGGGGAGATAGTAGATGCTAATTTTGGCCAACAGCCTTTTGTGTTTGACATTGAGGACTACATGAGCGAATGGAGGGCCAAGATCCACAGCATGATCGCCCGCTTCCCCATCGGAGAAAGACTGGGAGACTGGCAGGCGGTTCTGCAGAAGTGAGCAGCCGGTCACCTGAAAATAAATATTTATAAAACATCTACTTCTATTCGCTGTAGTTTATAATGCATGTTACTCTGCTAATCAGCCTTGTTATGTGGCTGGCTAATTCATCATAATATTTCCCACATTAACCTTTTTTATGTTTCCATCTGCAGTATGGTGTCCAGCTACCTGGTGCATCATGGGTATTGTGCCACAGCAATGGCCTTTGCCAGAACCACAGAGACCATGATCCAAGAGGACCAAACCTCAATAAAAAACAGACAGAGTGAGTACTCGATCAAAGTCGACTAGTTTAGCTAAAAATAACAGATCTTCCCATGCAGTTTATGCTGTTATGAGGAACTTAACTTTTGACTGGTTAAGCAAAACCACAATTTTTTGACACAACTGGGCTATGAATATTTGATCAATTTCTCTGTGTAAAATTATAGAAATGTGCCTTTGATTTAAGCTTTAATCAACACTCTGAATATTTAATGTTACCTTAATTTTTTTGTGTCACTTGCAACAATTAAATTAATTTGTTAAATCTGTTTGAAAGGAGACTTTCAGTATAAGCCATAAGATGCATTACATGTTATGTATAATTTACTCACAAAGAAAGGCAAATTCTAAGTGAGTCTCATTTGAATCTATATATATTAGGGCTGTCAAACGATTAATCGCATCCAAAATTTAAGTTTGTGTTTACATAATATATGTGGGTGCACTCACTGTGTATATATATATATATATATATATATATATATATATACACACACACACATGCATGTATATTTAAGAAAAAAAGAATATTTATATATAAAATATTACATATAATAATTTAATTTTATATAATAAAATTAAAATATATGTATATATAATATAAATTATATATACATCTACTTGTATATACATGAAAATATTCATTAAATATATTTAAGCATGTGTGTGTGTATATATATATATATATATATATATATATATTTGACAGCCAGCCCTAATAAATATATATATACAGTATATATATATATATATATATATATATATATATATACGGGTCATTTTTGCAGCATAAATTCTCAAAAAACAACACAAAAAAAACTATAGGTTTTTTGGTGTTGTTTTTTGAGAATTTATGCTGCAAAAATGACCCGTTCAGAAACCTTTGGATTAAAATCATAATTGAAAGAAGTAGTAGGATTGATACTTTAATTCTTAAACAAAATAAGATCATAAAAATTGTATATAGCACCTATTGCTCTGCATATCCTTCTGAAAGATCCCAAATGTTAGAAAATGAATGGCTGAAGTTGATTTTTTATAAGGATCTTAACAGTTTGAGCCATATTTCATTGTGCAATGTTTTGTGATCCTGTCAAAATGTAATTCAGGTTTAGCAAAGAGATATATAGATAAATGGATCATTTAAAAACTATATTGGAAACAAACCCCCTGACAGCACACCCTCATTTATCCTTTCGTATGTGAGGAAAGCAATTACATAAAAGTCTTAAAGGCACAGCTGTAATAAAACACTTGTTTAAAAGGTCAGAGAAAAATAAATTTATCATAAAACTAAATTATGAATGCTCAAAACACTTCACTAACATTCTAAGTGGACCTCAGGGAGAGCGATCGAGTGATTAAAAATGCATGATATGACCATTTAAACAAAAACGAAATAAAACACATGTAATTTCTTCATCTCATTTGCTCACAGGAATACAGAAACTGGTATTGGCAGGACGTGTTGGAGAAGCCATTGACGCAACACAGCAGTTGTACCCCGGACTCCTAGAACACAACCCCAATTTACTCTTCATGTTGAAGTGAGTTTACCAGACTTGGAGAACTACGTTTGTGTGCCACTTTGTGTGGTATGAATTGCTTAACTTGAAGCAAGGTGAAAAATGTGTTTTCTTCTCTGGGAATCAGTAGACCTCAGTTGCATATGAACATCCACAGCTTTCTGGTCTGGATTTCATAACACAAGCGTACTCAGAAGACACGTAGCCTGAGATTAGGGCAATCCTTTACTCAGTGTTATACTGAATGAAGGTTTTTATAGTGCCCTATGGTCAGGCTCTTTTTGTTATCAGTCTTTATAGTGAAAACACATTCAGGGTGAAAAGAGGGTCATGGTTGCTTTGCTCTGAGCTGCTTCTGATATGATTAGTCATATTGTTGCATAAGGTTGAAAAGAAGCTGCCTTTTAACTTTTTTTTTCATAAGTCATATGTCAGCTACCCTGTTGAATTGATGCTTTCTTATAATGCATTACACAGCCCATACTTCTGAATATTTATGTCCTTGAGAGATTTTAAAGGCTTAGTTCCCTTTGAAATTAATGTTTGGTATGTTTTAGCTTACTTCAAGGGCATCCAAGATGTAGGTGTCTTTGTTTCCGCAGTAGTTTCAATTTTGATATTTTTAGGTCAAACCGTTTGTCTATCAGTCATATAATGCAGGTCTATGGTCACCACCTCAAAGAGCATGCACAGAGAAGTTCAAATTAAACATGATTTAATGACTCGTAAATGTAAGTACACACTGATGGCCTAAGACACGAAACGAGCGGTTTGTGTGAGAAAACGAACAGTATTTATATCGTTTTAGGATTTTTTTGATCATTAGAAAGCTTTACAGTGACTTTTGTACACTAGTACAGTGCAACAGTCGAGTTTCCAGAAAACTCGATAGATTTTATCCATAAGATAATTATTTTTTTACGATAAATTATAAAGCTTTAAAGAGAATCTTACTGTGAGCTACGTGGTTGGTAATTGATGGTAGTTGCTTCTGTTAAAACCTCCAGTCTGCCTTATTTTAACTTGGTTTTAAAATAATTGTGTTTAGCAGTAGAATGTATGGTGAAAAACTACATTACCCATGATGCTGTATAGGAATTTCCACCAATCAGTGTCGAAACATGCAAAACGTGCCTAAAGACCTTGTTAGCTCCGCGAAAATGTCGAAATCAAATCGGTCTTTCCACGCTCTAAAAATACTTGTTTGAAATTTGAATAATGCATATTTTGCAATAAACTTATATATTTCCAATATATATGTATGTATATATTCAAATTTCTAACTAACATTTGTCAAAGTTGATAAGCAAGCCTTTCCATTTATTTAACTACAGCTTTAATATGAAACCACAGATCTTCAAATTGCATATAATTTAAAAGACATTGTTTCATTTAAAGGGATAGTTCACTTTCAAATCAATTTTTGATATGTTTTAGCTTACCTCAAGGGCATCCAAGATGTAGGTGTCTGTTTACACAGTAGATTCAATTTTGATATTTTTAGGTCAAACCGTTCTTGTCTATCACATCATATAATGGAGGTCTATGGTCACCACCTCAAAGAGCATGCGCAGAGAAGTCCAAATTAAACATGATTTAATGACTCGTAAATGTAAGTACACATTGACGGCCTAAGACACGAAACGAGCGGTTTGTGTGAGAAAACGAACAGTATTTATATTGTTTTTACCTCTTGTAACCACAGCCACAAAGCACCCGCGCCCTCAGATCACTTGGACGTGTGAAAACAAACCCTTTTCTCAACCTATTACAGACATTCACGGGGCTCGGTGTAATGTTAAACTTTTCTTTGGAAACCATCTCTATTCATTTTGCTTGGCTGGATTTTTTATTTATTTTTTTGACATGAAGATGAAACTTTTTATATAAAGCCTTACATGGAGGTGCATAATCGCACTGTTGGATGTCATCAGATGTCAGATGCTGCTGTGGGAATAGTGCCAGGATGTGTGGGAAGGAAGCAGTGAGAGCTGACTCCTCTCTCTTTCTCTGTGATGGATTACAGTTGAACGACAAGCAGACAGTTTAATGGATTGCTGAGCTGACAGTGTCAGTTAGAAGGCATAATGGATAAGAGAAACCTGGTTGACAGACATATGAATTGATTGGCAAGTCTGAAGCATGTGTGTATTTGTGTGCTTGTGATTTTTTTTTTTTTTTTTTTTGTTGCCCTCCCTCAGGTGTCGGCAGTTTGTAGAGATGGTGAATGGTACGGATAGTGAGGTACGGTGCTTTAGTGTCCGCTCTCCTAAATCACAGGACAGCTATCCCGGCTCCCCCAACATGAGCCCCCGGCACGGAGCCACCAACGCTCACTTGCACAGCACAGGTAACACACACACACACACTCAGTGTTACTTAAAATATTTTTTAGCACTTCGTGAACAATGCATTTGGGTGAAGCTCATGGTAAAATGTCCATGTTTCATCCCAGAATCATTTTCAACATTTTCAATGCTCCTAAAATAGGCTTAAAGGAGGCTTTTAAAAAAAACTTTTGCTGATAATTTAGTCACCCCCATGTCATCCAAGATCTCCATGTCTTTCTTCAGTCGAAAAGAAATTAAGGTTTTTGATGAAAACATTACAGGATTTTTCTCCATATAATGCACTTCACTGGGAACCAAACAGTTCAAGGTCCAAATGAGAGTTTCAGTGCAGCTTCAAAGGGCTTTAAACAACACCAGACGATGAATAAGGGTCTTATCTAGCGAATCAATCGGTCATTTAAAAAAAAAAAAAAGTTTAAATTTTACAAGCACAAATGCTCGCCTTGCTCTGTTCTGTGATGCACGTTCGTCACTCTCCTGTTCGAACTCGTTCATCAAAATGAACGAATCTTTTTTTCCGAGTCATTTGGTTCGTTCAACCATTCAATGAACGAAATGACTCGAAAAAAGATTTGTTCATTTTGATGAACGAGTTCGAACAGGAAAGTCACACAGAACAGAGCAAGGCGAGCATTTGTGCTTATAAAACTTAAATTTTTTAAAAAAAATGTAAAATGACCGATCATTTCGCTAGATAAGACCCGTATTCATCATCTAGTGTCGTTTAAAGCCCTTTGAAGCTGCACTGAAACTGTGTTTTGGACCTTAAACCATTTGGTTCCCAGTGAAGTCCATTATATGGAGAAAAATGCTGGAATGTTTTCATCAAAAACCTTAATTTCTTTTCGGCTGAAGTAAGAAAGACATGGACATCTTGGATGACATGGGGGTGAGTAAATTATCAGCAAAAGTTTTTTTAAAAGTGAACTACTATTAGTAGTAACATTATTTCATTTATTTTGAGGTCAAAGTTTCTTTTAAAGGGATGGTTCACCTAAAAATTAAAATTCTATCATTTCCTCACCCTGCAAGTTGTTCCAAACCTCTATGAATTTCTTTCTTCTGCTGAACACAAAATAATCTTTGTAACCAAACAACTGATGGGCCCCATACTAATTTAATTTCATTGAAAAATATGGGTAACCAAAATGTTAATTTTGGGGTGACCTGTCCTTCAGCATGCCCACACTTTTTTTAAATGTTTTGTCCTGAATGTCTATAATTCAAATGTCTATAATTCTGCAGTATGGTTTTAATTTATTAAAATATGTTAAAATGAACTACAAAGTAACTTACCTATTTGATAGCTGAAAGCATTCAAATACTTTATTTACAAAGCCCACATATTTGTTAAACCAAAATACAAGAGTTGAGGGAAGATTGGCGTAGGTTCGGTGTGGGTCTGATCATGAGGAACATCTTCAAGAGAACACATTCATAAAAGATGTGGATCAGATGGTTTATTGAATCACTTGTACTGCATTTGGGTGGATTATGTAACTCACAATTCAAGTAAAGCATTGTATTCATGCTGTTTCTTAAGATAGTTCTCATTGTTTTTTTCCCCTCCTCATGACTCAGGAGCAGACAGTCCCACATGCAGTAACGGGGTCACCCCACCTAACAAAAATAAGAGCCACAACAAATACACAGGCGTAAGCTCCGCCTCCTCTTCTCCATCCTCTTCTCCCTCCTCTGTCAATTACTCCGAGTCCAACTCTACCGACTCCACCAAGTCCCAGCCACACAGTGCCACCAGCAACCAGGAGACTAGGTGTGTGGTGGTGTTGTTTGGGTTAGTGATTGTGGGTTTGAGTTTGAGCCAGACAGAAAACGAAATATGCGGTTGTATGTAAGCATATAAATGTGTTGTGTACTTACATTCTCGAGAGACTCTGCTGTTGACTGTGTTTTTGTGTGTTGACAGTGATAGTGAGATGGAGATTGAGGCAGAACATTACAGCAATGGCGTGACAGAAAGCTCAACTCGCATTATGAATGGCACGTACAAGCACCAGGAAATCCTACAGGCTGATGACAGCAGTGTTGGCAATGGAGTAGCAGGTACAACACATGTGTAGGATTTTTAACATCACATTCAACAAAAATGCTTTATTTATACTTTTTTTTTTTTTTTACCTTTTTCATTCTTCATTCTGCTCTGTCCTTCCTCCCCTTGAGAGATGCTAATTTGAGCTCCTCTTTAACTCAGCCCATTAAATGCTTTTCTCCAAGGTTACAAAGAGAGAGTGTGATGGTTTGTGGTTATGAAGTTTCGATAAAATGTGTGTAGCTTTTATTAGCACCCAGTGCACAGTTTTCTTCCTTTAAAATAAATACATAATAATTTATTTATTAATTTTAATTAATTATAATTTATAATTACATTAATTAATACATTTTATTTATTTATTTATTATTATAAATTAATTAATAATAATTTCTTAGTTTCAGACATTGCTTTTTGCTTTGGTTTGAGGAAAATGGTTCAGATGGATTAAAAAACAAACGAGTCACTATTAGATGGAGGACTTTTTATATTATACTATATTATAATACTTATATATAATTCCATATAATGAAATTTAAGCTTTGCCAAATTGCATTTTAAAATATATTCAAATAGAAAACATTGTATGGAATAATTATAATACAATTATATTATTCCCAATAGTTTCACTGGCTAATTAAACATAGCCTCAAATTAATATAACAATACTGGGCAAGATTTGAAAATTATGAAATTTTCATATTTAAAATTGAAATTTTATTTTTAAAAAATTCAATTAAAAAAATATAAAAATGCAATAATGTTTAAAATATTGACATTTTCATAATTATGATAATGAAAATTAAGCTTTGCCAAATTGCATTTTAAAATATATTCAAATAGAAAACAAAACAGTTATTTTAAATTGTAATAATTATAATAAAATTATATTATTCCCAATAGTTTCACTGGCTAATTAAAAATAGCCTCAAATTAATATAACAATACTGGGCAAGATATTAAAAAATGACTACATTTTCATATTTAAAATGGACATTTTATATTATAAAAATTCATTTCAATATTTTAAAAATTATAGAATTTTCATAAATGTTTTAATTTTCATAATTATGATAATGAAAATTAAGCTTTGCCAAATTGCATTTTAAAATAGATAATTATATATTACGGGGGAGAGGAATAATTATAAAACAATTATATTATTCCCAATAGTTTCACTGGCTAATTAAACGTAGCCTCAAATTAATATAACAATACTGGGCAAGATTTGAAAATTATGAAATTTTCATATTTAAAATTGAAATTTTATATTTTAAAAATTCAATTAAAAAAAAATAAAAATGCAATAATGTTTAAAATATTGACATTTTCATAATTATGATAATGAAAATTAAGCTTTGCCAAATTGCATTTTAAAATATATTCAAATAGAAAACAAAACAGTTATTTTAAATTGTAATAATTATAATACAATTATATTATTCCCAATAGTTTCACTGGCTAATTAAAAATAGCCTCAAATTAATATAACAATACTGGGCAAGATATTAAAAAATGACTACATTTTCATATTTAAAATGGACATTTTATATTATAAAAATTCATTTCAATATTTTAAAAATTATAGAATTTTTTTAAATGTTTTAATTTTTATAATTATGATCATGAAAATTAAGCTTAGCCAAATTGCATTTTAAAATAGATAATTATATATTACGGGGGACAGGAATAATTATAATACAATTATATTATTCCCAATAGTTTCACTGGCTAATTAAACGTAGCCTCAAATTAATAGAACAACACTGGGCAAGATTTCCCAGCAGTTCTATATTGAAGCAATTATTTCAATCACAATATCAGTGCGCTGTGTAATTATAGTCGCAAACATGTCTGCTTTCTGGGGTGTCATTGCGATTTCTTTGCTCCTCTAGATGACAGCTGCAGCTCCAGACAGCTGTGTGGAGGAAACCAGGCGGCCACAGAGAGAATGATCCAGTTCGGCAGAGAGCTTCAGGCCCTCAGCGAGCAGCTCTGCCGACAGTACGGCAAGAACGCCACTCACAAAAAGATGCTGCAGGTATGGAGGGAAAGAGGAGGAAAGGTTGTTTGCATAACATCACCATAATCCCATGCTGCCTGTGCAAAGTCAGTTTTGGCTGTTGTGTTTTATGTGAAATATTGCAGTAGTGGTCTGTTTAGACTTGCAGTCATATTGCATGCATACCAAGTGATCTGTTCAACTCCTCTGCCTCTTGTTTGTTGCACATTTGAAGTGGAAAGTTGATTAGCCTTGTGGGTAGCAGTACTTTGTGCCCACTCGCCGACGTGCATGTTTGTGTGTTCAGGATGCATTCAGTCTTCTGGCGTACTCGGACCCCTGGAACTGCCCCGTGGGCCAGCAGTTGGACCCCATGCAAAGAGAGGCGATCTGCTCTGCTCTCAACAGCGCTATTCTGGGTAAGGCTGCTCGGCTGGCTGAGACGACACGTGAATACACTATGTGAACATGAGCACTTATGTAGGCCTCGTTATTTAGTAACATGAGGCATGTAAATGAGCTGGTAACATCGTCAAGTTGTTATGATAATTTCTTCTTATTTAATAGTTGTAATGGCTTCATATCAGTGATCTTTTCCATCATTCAGAGTCTCAGAATCTGCCCAAGCAGCCTCCTCTCATGCTGGCTCTTGGTCAGGCCACCGAGTGCGTGCAGCTGATGGCCAGGGTTCGCTCCGGTTCCTGCTCCTTCGCCAGAGTCGACAACTTTTTGCACTAGCACTAGTCCAGGTGAGAGCACCAAGGTAATTATAGTTTGGAGAACTTTTTTTATTTTGATTTTAAATTTAAGTGTAGTTTTAATTTGTTTTAAAATCCAGTTTGCATGTCATTTGCATCTTTGAAAAATGATTAGTTTTGTTTTTATTTTAATTTAGTATAATAATTTCAGTTTTCATTCCTTATAACACAATGACATAAATCATTCTGTGTATATTTGTCAAGTCACAAAGAAAACTATTGAAAAATTGTGTGTATATATGAAGAGTTCAGATGCAAAAGCCTCTAAGTGCCATTTGAAATTTTCTCCTAAAAAGATCATTTTTATCAAGCTTTTATATTTAAGTTCAGTAATTTCACTTAAATGGCAATGAAGATTACCTATTAATTGTCATTTAAGTGAAATTACTGAACTTAAATATACAAGCTTGATAAAAATGGTCATTTTAGAAGAAAATTTCAAATGGCATTTAGAGGCTTTTGCATCTGAACTCTTCATATATATATATATTTTAGGACTCTCAATCGCACCCTTTTTGGGGGATTATTCACACCCTTACGCCGCCTTCACACTGGCAGTTGAAATCAGCTCCGTAATACGCAATACGTTCCCAACGGACGTCGTACTATACAGTGAAAAGCGTCGGACACGGGTAGAACAAAAATGGCAGAGAGAGAGATTAAAGTTTGATTCTGTTTTTTTTTTTTTTATTATTATTAAAGTTTGATTCTTTCAGTTCTGTATGATCTCTCTGATGATACGTTGACATGTCAGGTCGGCTAAAATATGTGATATAGTGGTCAATAGTTTATGTCTACCTTCAATTTAATTGTATTAACTGCCCTTATAAACGTTAGAAAGTCATGAAAATAAAAAATGACATGACAACTTATCGTTATAAAATCATAATTTATTTTATTAAAAGTTAATAATTCAGGTTTGTTTATCAGTACCATAGCAACGCTCAACTTCTGCTGGAATTGTCGGATAGGAACTGTCCGTAGCTTTTCGCACGAGTTCAAATTTTTGACGTTCGCGAAGTTCACGATTTTCTTCGCACCGCACTCGGTCGGACCCGTTTCGGACCCATTCGCATGCGCTCTGCGAATCTCCATAGGAAACGAATGACTTCCGGTTGTTTCGCAGCCGCATCGGACCTGATTTCAACTGCCAGTGTGAAGGCGGCGTTATTGTGAAATTAAGCTTAATTGCGTGTGAGGATGTTGGAGGTGGAGATTTATAGCCTTTTCTCACAGCACTTGATATAATTAAACTTATCAATTTGATGGCGGATCCAGAAAGGTTCAAACGACAATCACCAGTGACAACAGATTTACCCGCTGTAAAATGCTAAAGACTTTGTTCGGGCTTCGGAGTGGCTACAGAAAAAAAGAGACGGCAACCGGCCCATGCGAAAACAAGGATACAGATCGGAAGGACGTTACATGTAGTCACGCGACGCTTGCTTACATTAAACATTAACAATTTGAGAACAAAGTATGATTTTCACGGTTTTGGTGATATGATAACTTATAAGCGATTGTTAGATTTAATCAGCCCGATTTACTGCAATGTCAGAACCAGAACAAAAGTGGATGTTTCTTACTAGTTCAGATGACATTTTCCGGTGAAAATTATTATGTTGGTCATACTTCCAAAAAAAATAATCTGCGATTGTGAATGCCAGTATCAACACTGGTGGTGACTGACAGCTACACTCTCCTCAAACATTGTGTTCATCCATGCTGTGCCGTGTCGAGGGTGTTGAAATAAAACTCGCGTAAATACAACTCACTGCAATTGCAGATTTCAAACAGAGATGGCGACAAAGAGGACAAACACCGGACTGCAGCTTTAATAATAATAATAACTCATTACATTTATATAGACCATTTCACAAGATGTAAACAACACTGGTCCAGAAGCACTTCCTGTTTCAGTTTTTTAACACTACATAAAAGCTGGGATAAAATACAACCAACAGAACATTTAAAACTGAATCAAAAAGTTAAACAAATATCTTTAAGATGTTTTCTTTACATGTGAAATAAAAAAAACAGTTACAAACTGAAACAGGAAGTGTTTCTGGACCAGTGTTGTTTACATCTTGTGAAATGGTCTATAGCGCTGTACATAGAAAGGGGAATCTCCTCAACCACCAGCAATGTGCAATGATGCAACGATATTTCGGTATTTTAACGTATTAAGGATTTTGAGTTAATCGCAAACGTTAACGCTATAACGTCGACAGGCCTAATATATATTCAATTTCATCAACAAATTTTACATTCAACGCTTGATCCCAAGAAAATACATGTAAATCAGACACTTCTAAATGGTTGGTTCTTTTTTGCTGGTGTATATTTAAATGATTAAATTAGATTATTCAATTGTAATACATAACACAAAAACAAAAGGTCATTACTCTGTCAATTTTGTTCCTTTTAATGCACATTTATCCAGTCCAGGTCCATTCTTCAAAATCACTTTATCATTTTTTTTTCCTTAAAATATTCCAGTATTGCTATCGTCCATGTTAAATACATAATCCTTTTGTATTTCCCTCAGGCAATGTTCAGGACGGCTACAAATAGGACTTTCCAGTCGTTTGCCATGACGAGAACATGCGTTTGAATTGGTGTGTCGCTTGCCGTTTGCCAGAAGCAGCCGAAGCAGAATGAATAGAAACATGAGAAGAGAGGCTTCTTTTTAAATTAGTATTATCAAATACAAATTGTGTGACACTATTTAAAGATAATTAATTATTCTGTTTATCTAGTCATTTTTATTTTAGTTCATATTTTGTCCGTTTGTTGTGCTCATTTTGAAACGAATCAACTTCCCAACCTTTGTTTTTTTTTTTTTTTTTTTTTTCATGGGTGAATTTAGTGCATAGTATTTCAAGCGTACCATATCAACAATATACATAATGGTAAGTTCCTACTGAAAATTTGAGCTACGCACTCTGGTTTTTCTCAGTCAGAGCTCAGGTATTTCGACAAATGTTCTTTTATTTGCTTCACCAGACCATACTGTGGATTTTAAAGCAGGTCCTTTTTCTATGTACAAGCAAATTCTACAGATTATTTTTATTATTATTTGGTCAACCTAAGCTGCCCCTTTAGGAATTAGATGAACGTCGTAGTTGTGCATACAGAAGTTTGGCGACCTTCCGATGTTTTCATTGGAGTAAGTGTGTGATTTGAGGGTGAGATAATGCATGGCTCATATAGTGTCTCACCTTTTAAGCTACTTTAGCATCTCAGGCACCAGCACAAGTTTCACTAGACACAATCACACAGTGACGACGCAGACTTGCCTTTGGGTCCAATGTAGATGAATTATATTTTCAATCATAGCCCTAAATGGATCTATTTTACCGATATTTTACCATCTTTATAGCTGTGGGTTTCATGCAAATGTCAACCTTCACTTTTTTTTAAGTTAGGTATATTGTGGTTTTCCAACTTTTATGGCTGTACCAAATAAAAAGGCAGTTTTTGACAAAAGAAATTTAAGGTTAGTTTGATTACTGAGAAGCTCACAGACTAACTTCATATACCAAGTCTGTACATTTTATGCCCATGTGAATAGTGTCACTGTGTCGATAGTTCTCCTGTTAGATTAATAACTATACAGACTGACACCGTTTCAACTTTTGTTATTGGTTGTTTCATTGGCTGTTGAGTACCGTTGTTCAAGTTTTGTTACCATTGGATGCACTGTACTTGGATTAATGCACATGACGCATTACTGTATCCGTCTACCTCTCCTGTTCATTAATGGAGGGACAGAGTATGAACTTGCAGCATGCAAGACAATTGAGTGTTCCTAAAAATGAACAGAAAACTTGCAAACGAAATATGTATTTATTTAGCGCCTAGAACATCTCCTTAAAGGGTTAGTTCACCCAAAAATGAAAATTCTGTCAGTATTTGCTCACCCTCATGTTGTTCCAAACCTCTATGTGTTTATTTGTTCTGCTGAACACAAAGGAAGATATTTGGAAGACTGTTTTAATCAAACAGTTCTCATTCCCCATTGACTACCATAGTAGGAAAAAATACATACTATGGTAGTCAATGGGGAATGAGATCTGTTTGATTAAAACATTCTTCCAAATATCTTCCTTTGTGTTCAGCCGAACAAATAAACACATAGAGGTTTGGAACAACATGAGGGTGAGTAAATACTGACCGAATTTTCATTTTTGGGTGAACTACCCTTTAAAGTGTTAGTTCACCCAAAAATGAAAATCCTGTCAGTATTTACTCAGCCTCATGTTGTTCAACCCCGTAAGACCTTCGTTAATCTTCTGAAGAGCGAATTAAGATATTTTTGATGAAATCTGAGAGCTGGATCACTCCTGCATACTAGTCCATAGGCTTCTTGAGGGATTGAAACTTGCCAGCCTCGAAAAGTTATTAAAGACATCGTTCAAATAGTCCAAGTCACTACAGTGGCTCAATCCTAAATTTATCAAGCGACGAGAGCACTTTTTGTTCGCTAAAACAAACAAAAATAACAAATAACCATTTATTTCCTTCTCTTTGGGACTCTAGTCAGTTAACGTAGTGTGACGTACCGTCACACGTAGGCTCACTATTGGCCGACGCTGGTCATGTGTGATGCGTGTGACGTACAACAACAGAAGCGTATGCTATTTTACTAGTAACCTGACTAGAGGCCCACAGAGAATGAAATGAATAGTTGAAATAAAGTCGTTATTTTTGTTTTTTGCGCACAAAAAGTATTTTAGTCATTTGATAAACTTAAGATAGTCACTTGGACTATTTTAATGATGTCTTTAATAACTTTTCGGGGCCGGCAAGTTTCAATCCCTCAAGAAGCCTATGGACTAGTATGGAGGAGTGATCCAGCTCTCAGATTTCATCAAAAATATCTCAATTCGTGTTCTGAAGGTGAACGAAGGTCTTATGTGAGTAAATACTGACCGAATTTTCATTTTTGGGTGAACTATCCCTTTAAAATGAAATTGTCTTTGTTGCTCCAGAACTTCACCTCGACCTCGTATCAGTGCAATTGTTTCGGTTTCCCCCCCCCCGCAAGATGTTCTTTAACAATTTCTTGGCCTTTGTAAGTGTGATCTTAACTGGCTCAGGCACTTTTTCCTTTAAGCAGCCTGTTTTTTTTCCCCATCTGATCATCCATGAAGGAAAAACTATCAGTCGACCCTATGTCAACCCATTTAACTCAGCCAGCACGCCGCTGTGGTGTTGAATGTAGCTTAAACGATTTTAGTTCCCACATTTTTTGCTGCTGGCCATCATGAGATTGTTACATTCCCGTATTGTCACCTGCTTTTGCTCTTTTCAGTTATACCTCACTTCCTCTTAGGACAGTACTGTCTAGCTTGTTGTATCGTGTCAGGCATTTTAACAGAAGGTATGTGTCATCTGGTGGGTAGTTGGAGGTCACAACAAGGTCACTGGAGAGTTGCACATGCTGCTCAATATGTAAAATAAACTTGGCCTTCCCAACTCTGGAGTTGCATAATGGATGCAGACAATTAAACTGATTGGAGCCCCACCTTGTGTTTTTAGCAGTGTTTGTGATCTGATTCAATGGGGTAGACATTTTACACTGATCCCTAATGATCTGTCAACTTATTTTACTCCACTAAATGGGTCAATTTGATTGTTAAATGGTGGTATCTTGTTGCATGGGGACATCTTGTGTAACTATTTACTTATGTTTGAGTTATAAAATGGCAGTTTGCAGAGAGAAGCACTCGTACTTCTACTGACCTGTCCGTTGTAGATCTTTTGTCATGGGGCGGCTTTTTAATGCCAAATATGTTTTGGAACTCATCATAATCGAACCACCTATAATGAATATCGTTGTTTTAAAAGAATCCATCATAGAACGTCATAATGGCTTTACGTACATACGTCGAAGGGAAGAAAGTAGCCAAAATGCGTCACGTTCCTGCTTCGGAAGACAATGGAGCAAGACGAATGGAATGGAGTACAGCAAGCTGTGCACAGTTTACTTCTATTGCGATTTTAATTTTATTTTGAGTTTTCTTTTAGCAATTGTGAAATGAGTTACCCTCTACTTAGCATGAACCTTTAAAAACCTTTAAAACAACATAAAAAAGAAAAACAATTTAAAAAATGAAAAAGAAAAAAAGACATACCTATGTACTGGAAACATGATAAAGAAATATTGTACTCATTTAATTTTGACAGAATTATTTTTATTAAAATACACATCCATGAGCAAATGGTGTCTGTCTTTTGTATTATTTTATTATTGTTTCTTTGCATATATATATATATATATATATATATCTGTATATATACTGCTTTTGTGTAATAGAAGAAGAATATAAGAATTCATTGGCATTTTATGTGTGTGTATAGAGTATGGAGTCATGCTCAGCTCAGGATCATGTCTGTAGCCGTATGCAGATCTATGGGCGTCTGTTCCAGATGTCCGAGGACTGTTGGGGGTCTCCTCTGAGTGAAGTGTGAACTCATTGTTTATATACTGATACAGGCTCCTGGCCTTTTTCCTCTTTGTGGGGGAAACTGAGGAAAGAAAAACATTATGGGTTTAGATTAGTTTAGAGCATCAGTACTGTCATTGTCTATGTTATTCAGATCATTTACTGAGATTCTGATGTTTGTGCCTCCCTTATTATTACACCTACATTTGCATTAATTCATTCATTTAAATGGATAGTTCACTTTGAAATTAATGTTTGGTATGTTTTAGCTTACCTCAAGGGCATCCAAGATGTAGGTGTCTTTGTTTCTGCAGTAGTTTCAATTTTGATATTTTTAGATCAAACCGTTCATGTCTATCAGTCATATAATGGAGGTCTATGGTCACCAACTCAAAGAGCATGCACCAAAAATGATGTCAGCACAATTTGGAAAGTTTCATTCACAAATAAAACAATTGACTCCAAGGCCAAGTTCAACAATATGCGTACAAAATATTAAATCACGTTTTTAATAATATTTTAATAAAGGGTGAAGATGTAAATTTTCCTAGGCCGGACATCACTTTTGACCATTTAATTACAGCTTAGTCATTTTCAAGGCTTTATATCCATAGGAGTACTGTGAGATTGTTGTCTGTGTTGGTGTTTATACATAACTGTAGAAAGAGCATACCTTGCCATCTTCTGAAAGACATAAGCAAGCATGGAGACCAGTAACATCTTTAAGCTCCTTTAAAGTGGAGAGTTCATTACATCTACTGAGTTCCTCCTAATGAAGCTCACCGCCAACACAAGGAAATGCAGGTAGAGTAGTACAGAAACACACTTCTTTTTATTTTGTATTATAATACAAAATATAATATTATAAATATTATAATTGTAATACTGAAAAAACTGTAATTGTGAAGTAATGTTGAAATTTAAAATATGTAGTAGCCCGAGTAGCCTAGTTCACGTAAAAAAAAAAAAAAATTGCTGACAATTCACTCACCCCCATTTCATCCAAGATCTCCATGTCTTTCTTTCTTCAGTCGAAAAGAAATGAAGGTTTTTGATGAAAACATTCCAGGATTTTTCTCATTATAATGGACTTCACCGAAAACCAAACGGTTCAAGGTCCAAAAGACACTTTCAGTGCACACTGTTCAAATGGCTTTAAACGATTCCCGACGATGAATCGTCTTATCAAGCGAAACGATCTCTCATTTAAAAAAATAATAAAGTTTAAGTTTTATAAGCTCAAATGCTCGCCTTGCTCTGTTCTGTGATGCACGTTCGTGACTCTCCTCTTCGAACTTGTTCATCAATATGAACAAATCTTTTTTCCGAGTCAATTCGTTCGTTGAATGAACCAAATGACTCGGAAAAAAGATTCCTTATTTTGATAAACGAGTTCAAACAGGAGAGTCACAAACGTTCATCACAGAACAGAGCAAGGCGAGCATTTGAGCTTCTAAAACTTAAACTTTGTTATTTATTTATTAAATGAGCGATCGTTTCGCTTGATAAGACCCTTATTCATCGTCTGGAATCGTTTAAAGCCCTTTGAACAGTTTTCACTGAAAGTGTCTTTTGGACCTTTGGACCATAAGTGCATTATGGAGAAAAATGCTGTAATGTTTTCATCAAAAACCTTAATTTCTTTTCGACTGAAGACAGAAAGACATGGACATGATCTTGGGTGACATGGGGGTGAGTAAATTATCAGCTAAAGTTTTTTTTTTTAAGTGAACTACTCCTAATTCATTTCTGTGATGCAAAGCTGAATTTTCGGCATCATTAACGTTACTCCAGTCTTCAGTGTATGATCCCAATATTATGAAGCTCAAATATGCTGATTTATTACAGTATCAGTGTTAAAAAGAGTTTAAGCCTTATGAGCATAACGACTTTAAACTGAATGTAACGGTAAGACTTGAAAGTATCTTGATTGTTTCAGACCTGAAAGGATCGGTTACCCGGATGATCAATGATAACTGCCAATATTTTCAAAAAATCCGTCGTCGAGTTTTTTTGCTGTATTTTTGAACGGTTTGCTGTTTTTACGCGTCTCCCTTTTCATTATGCAGTGTAAATTTCTCAAATTAGCTCCCTGCTATCGAAATTGTAACGTTACAGGTGAGAATATTTCTTGAGAGTTATTTGAATGGTCATTACCAGCGTTTAGACAGCAGAGGGGGCAAATTCCCATTATTTCACATTGTGCTTAACCGGCCGGAGTTCACTAGAGGGCCTCAGTAAACCTGTAAATTACAATTTACATATTTAAGAGAAAAATCATGATCTTAACCCGCACTTTAGAGCCTTGGCAAACAAAAGTTTCAATTTTGTCCCCACAAGAATTGTCAGTAGTCTTAAACAAATTTTGTATTGGCTAATTATGGGTTTTTGTTTAGGCTTATTGATAGGCTAGTTGAGCAGCAAGTTTTAGTTATGAAGAAATTTGTCTGCAGTTCTGATCTGTGGACCTTCTGCTCTAATTAGTACGCTTACATCGCATTGATCTTCTGATAGACAGTGATGCAATCTGAGGATAAAGTGTCCTTAATATGTAAAGCAATAGTACTGAGTGAAGTGCATCCACAGCTACCACTTCCGGTTAAAATGGAAATAAACAGGTTTTTCCAGACTTTTTTTAATGGAACCAAATCCCAATCCTACCCTAACCCTATAACAAGTACATGTAGTTAACTTAAAATTACCCAGTACTTAAATATATAATTACACTGTAACAATGATACCTTAAAATAAAGTGTAACCCTAGTTAGTTACATTAATAAGTACTGTGTAATATAAAATTGACTACATGACATGTACTTACTCTGGATTTAAGGTTTGGTTTAGGGTTAGCTGATTGCAATTATGCATAATTTACTGTTATTACTGTAACTACATCACATTAAAATAGTGTTACCAAAGCATGATATACATTGTACAAATCATGTTGCAAAAATTCATTACATAAGCAAAAATGTAAATAATTTGTTTAAACAAGAAATAAATGTTAAATACTTTTATTATCTTGATAGAACATTTTATAATCAGCTTATAACATTCATTCACAGTATTGTACACCTTGACCCATCTGATTATAATAAAAACACAAGCGTCTAAAGATTTGAATTTCGTGATTCTCAAAAGAAATAGAAACCTCCTTTCCAGAATTCTAATATACATACAAAAGTACAAGAATAAGAAAAATACTTTCCATAATTTACACACATATAAAATGCTCTTTTTTATAAAAAGGGCTCCTAGTGTACAAAAGTGTCCGTCAGTACATATTTCTATTTATACACATATTTGGACATACACAAAAAAATAATGCTCATGTGGTATTACTGGTGCTCCGATTGTGTGCTGTTTATATCCCATCACTTCTTCCGATTTACTCTCTCCATCCAGAGAATGCCAATAAAACATTAAATTAAATACAGATAACAAAACAAAGTGGCAAGTTTGGCTACTCCAGCTCTTGCTATACGTTTCAAATCACCATCCGGTCTTGGTAACAATGTTGTAGTGAAAACACGAGGCAATGAGTCACTAGTGTCAGTTGTGCAGATGTTACGTCTAGACATGTTTGAATAAACTACATTCTCTTTCAGACTCAAGGCTACCTTGATAAACGCAAGTTTTGCAGCGAACCAGATAACGCTGGCTACACCTTCATGAATCATGCCCATCAGTTATGACACGGTAAGACCGGCTTCCTAATGGTTTTCACTGACACCTTTTAGCTACATTATCATTCATCCCCAAATAGAATCACGATACAAGAGAATTAGCTCATCAGCCAATCTAGAATGATGTTCCTCCAAACGTTGGGATATTTCACTGTCCTTCCTCCATCAATGCTTCTTGGTTTGATAGACAGCCTTTGAGGCCCTGGACGTCCCGAGGCAGGTTCTCCACAGTCTAAACAAGCGTTCACCTGGGAACCGGTTGCCTGAAGACAGCGCTCGGGTGTGTTAGACATTAGAGAAACCAATATTTGGCTCGGAGTCTGATAGTGTCCACCTCAGTGCCGTTTCTGTAAGATTATACTTTAAAAATACGACTGAACACACACATACACACACTCACCATGGCTAAAAAAGCCTCACAGCTTTGGCCATCAGGAGTTGGACTGTGTGGAAAAGGTCCCAATGTGCAGAATTCTGGCTTTTCCAAACATGAAAGGAATTTCCTTTTTTTCTCTTTACAGAAAAACAGAGTGAGTCAATGAGAGGTCAAGTCTTTCGAATCAGATTCTTATTTGTTTCTGAAGGAACTAAAAACAAAGTGAGAAAAACAGGTTGTCCTTCAGAAAGAAAGAAACTGTCCTAGACTGCCTCTTTCAACAATAAAAAGCCATTTTTTTTTAAAGGGACAGCTCACTCAAAAATGGAAATTCGGTCACACGCACGTGTCAATCCAAACCTGTATGACTTTTTTTCTTATGTGAAACCTTAGAGAAGATATTTTGGGAAATGTCCCTGTTTTGTTTTGTTTTTTTGTCCATACATTGGAACCATTTGATTACGGTGTTCAACAGAAGAAGGTTTGGACAAGATGGAGTCATTTCCAAGAATAAAATTTTAGGAGGTACTATCACTTTAAAGAAATAGTTCACCCAAAAACTGTATTCTCTGCAAAAATAAAAGCTCCGTCATCATATACTCACCCTCGTGTTGTTCCAAACCTGAATGAGTTTCTTCTGCTGAACACAAAAGATGATATTTTGAAGAATGCTGGTCATCAAAATGGTTGACAGTGATTTTTTTTCCTACTACGGAAGTCAATGGAAGCCAACATTCTTTAAAATATCTTCCTTTGTGTTCATCAGAAAAAAGAAACTCATAGGTTTGGAACAACGTGAGGGTGAGTAATGACAACTTTCATTTTTGAGTGAACTATCCCTTTAATATAACCAGATAGAAAAGAAACCCCCAAAAAGTTTCCATTTCCATGTATGAAAAAACCTCAATATAATTAAAAAATGGCTTTTTTTTAAACATCAGAGATAATTAACTGATTAAGCCAACTTGGGAGTGTTAAAGAAGTAAAAACATGTTTAAATGTTCTCATAATGGGATTGATCTTAATGCTACACTTCCAGTCTCTCACGTACTGCTCACTGAGATTTCCGCTTTTAAAAACGTGATTGATAAACACATGAATTAGTAGTGAGAAGAATGCAAATAACAGCACTTCAAAATCATCATGTAGAGCACATTTTGAGCGACAGAAACTACGATCAGCATCAGAATGAGACAATAAACACTGATCAGATCCATTTTAACACTTATATTTCTCTCCACCTCCTCATCATCATCCTCATCAATGCAAGAGGCATCATAAAAAGTGAGATGAATCCACAAGACACATTTCCACAGAGGCGAGTTGTTGGTCTCTCACGTCCTCCGAGTGATAACGTCAGGCATCCCAGTAGCAACTAGCACACTTCCTTGGAGTCAATAGAGATGAATATGGTTGATTTCTCCCGAAAGAAGAAAAAATAACTAAGGCGAGAGGAATGGAGAGCCGTAAGGCACTTCCATACAGTGCAACCTGTGTGATCTGGGCGAGGGACCTTATTCACGGGGAAGATTGTGAACAGGTTGTCGTTTGTGATAGTAACGACCGAAAAATAATAGCGGATGATGTAATGGTTCCTTCATTTTATCATAAATGTGCATAAAGGCTCTTACAGTGGTGTGAATCCTACTGTAGCTCACAACGTAATGAAGTTTCCGTCCTCTCTCATGCTTTCTTGGCTACTGCTCGTTTTGGTGGGACTGCCGTTGTGTGTAGGCGTGGTCAGAGAGCTTAAAGAGCTGCTACTGGGCAAGGAAACACTTTGTGGGAGGGGCCTGTGCGCAAATGCGCCCGACGACAGGGCGTTACCGTGGCTGCCGTTGCCATTAGTCATACGGTGTGGCACGTACAGGTTGTCGTTCTCGATGATGAGGTCCGTATCATCGTCACTGTCGCCCTCGGCCACGCTGTTGCTGTTGCTGTATTGGCTAGCATTCTGTGAGGCGGGGCTGGGGGCGGAGTCATGTGAGAGGGCGGAGCCTCCCGAGCCGGCGGAACTATTGCCGGCGGATGTTTTACTCGCACGGAGCGTCGTGTTGTTGCGCTGATTGGCGGGTTTTACCGTCACGATGAGGTTGTGGCTGTTAGCCACCATCATGTCGGTGACCTGGTCCAGTGATTTCCCGGCCACATCGATACCATTCACCTCGAGAATCTCGTCATTGACTCCCAGCAAACCCGTGCTCTCTGCCAGACCGCCTTTCACGAGGCGGGAGATGAAGACGCCCGGGACTTTCTCCACCCCTTGAGGAGTGACGCGGACACTGACACCGTCACGGATGTAAAAGCCAAGGGGTTTGTGGGTGCCGTGCTTGTGCAGACGAACACGGAGATGCGTGTCGGGTAAGATGTCCACATCGATGATAGAAGAGATCTGCCGGAAATCCTGGGGATTGCTGATGAGCAGCGCCGGCTTGGACTTGGACTGTTGCGCTTGACGCAGACCAGCTAGACCCTTTTTTCTTCTCTGGAGAGAGCCTGCGGGGAACGGCACGGAGTCGTCTACGTCTGAGGAGAGAGAGAGAGAGAGAGAAACTAGTTATATATATATATGATATACTGATAAATTTGTGTATATGCATATGCTGATTATATATATATATATATATATATATATATATATATATATATATATGAGATGAAAAGACTAAACACATTTTAAACCATTAATATTACAAAAGCTCATCAAGTAGTCAATATTGTTTTTGTTTTATTTATATACATAATACTGTTCTGAAGCTTTGGGCCAGTATGATTTTTTATGTTTTTGAGAGGTTTCTTATGCTCATCAAGGCTTTTTGATTAAAATATAGTAAAGACAGTATAATACTGGGAAATATTATTATTATTTAAAATGTAATAATGTAATTCATTTCTGTAATGGCAAAGCTGAATTTTCAGCTGTCATGATCGTTCAGTCACATGAAATCAGAAATCATTTCTACATGCTGATTTGATGCTTAAGTTTCCGCCACTGAATAAAAAGTCATAATTGCAAGATATAAAGTGGCAATTCTGAGAAAAAAAAGATAGACTTGCGATTATCTCACAATTCGGACTTTTTTTCTCACAATTGCGAGTTTACATCTCGCAATTCTGACTTTATAACACATAATTGTGAGTTTATATGTCGAAATTCTGACATCTTTTCTCAGAATTGTGATGTATAAACTCGCAATTGCGAGTTATCAGGCCAATTCTAAGGGGAAAAAAATAAACTTTTTTTCCCCTCAGAGTAGTTTATATCTCACAATTCTGACTTTATATCTCGCATTTCTGACTTTTTAACACACAATTGCGTCTTTATATCTCTTAATTCCTACTTTATATCTCGCAATTCTGACTTTATATTTCGCAATTCTGAGAAATAAAGTCAGAATTGCTAGATGTAAACTTGCAATTGTGAGATAAAAAGTCGCAATTACCTTTTTTATTTTTCATTCTGTGGTGGAAACAAGCTTCCATATTAAATAGCATTTCAGTTGTGAGAAAACAGTTTTTGTGAAAACCGTGATGCACTTTCAGAATACTTTGAAGAATAGAAAGTTAAAAAAAAACAGCATTTATTTGAAAGTAAAATCTTTTGTAACATTAAAAATGTCTTTACTGACACTTTTGATCAATTCAATGTGTTCTCCTTGCTGATTTTTTTATTAATTAATTTCTTTCCAAATAAAAATGAAAAACTTACTGACCCCAAACTTTTGAAAGGCAGTGCACGCAAACACACTATATAGAAAGGGAACCTCATTTTGCTTTCCAGACAACATTTATTTAATGTGTGCTAAAGACTGTAACTATAGATAAACTGAGACGTGCTGCTTTTATCTCCCTATCAAATTCTTCCTGTCAACGCCTAAAAGAAAGAGGATTTCCTCACAACTCCATAAAAACCCGCAATTTGTCCACTAAATTTGGAAAGACCTTCATCACTGGCATAAAATAATGTTCCCTGATCCTAAAAATGAACTCAAGGAGACACAAAGCACCTCGCTGTGTTATTCACCATCTGTCCTACCAGTATCACATTACTGTGACCTCAATTATAAAATTGATCCCCATAAATCAATTTTAGATTTGTTTTTTCAATCTTCTCTAAAATAATTCAATATGGCATTGATTGCTGAATGTTAATATGGAGCAATAATACGGTTTTGACAAACAGAAAAGACCATATCATAATAAAAACCGAATGGCAGAAATGGATGAATGAACAAACAAGGATTGTAATAAATCTGTCCAAGGCACTTGCAATAGGTCAAGGGTCACGAGATGGAATCAGATTAAAAGGCAGATTAATCAAAGCCTGTCTCCCCACACATAATATTCACTGTTCAAAAGATCCAAACAATCACAGCTGATATGTCGGACTAGAAAAATGAATAGACTTGTATTAGGCGATGAGCAGGTAACGGAGAACAGAGGGCCCTCCTGACTGGAATCTGGTGGGAGGTAACATGCGTCAGCAGAGAGAATGTTTTTGGTTATTTTTAAACTGCAGCAGGGATTTTGAGCGTGGGTCTTCACGGAGAGGGATTTTTTTTGTGATTATGAGAGCACAGCCTGCTGGGAGTTGAAATAGCAAAGCCATCAACACCTTCCCCTCAGTCTGCTGACTAACATTAAAGGGATAGTTCATTTTGAAATTAATTTTTGATGTTTTAGCTTACCTCAAGGGCATTAAAGATGTAGCTGTCTTTGTTTCCACAGTATTTTAAATTTTGATATTTTTAGGTCAAACCGTTCGTGTCTGTCAGTCATATAATGGAGGTCTATGGTCACCACCTCAAAGAGCACAGAGAAGTCCAAATTAAACATGATTTAATGACTCGTAAATGAAAGTACACATTGATGGCCTAAGACACGAAATGAGTACAGTATTTATTTCGTTTTTACCAGCCACAATGCGCCCGTGCCCTCAGATCACTTGGATGTGGCTGTGTTATTTTTGTATAATTATTGTAGTATTTATTGCGATTTTTTTATTAGCTTTTATTTTTATATTTTCAGTTTTCACTAATTTTAGTACTTAAACATTTTATTTAAGTTATTTGCTAAGGCAACATTTCTCTTTTTTTAGTTTCTAGATTTTTTTTTAGGTTTTTAAAATGCATTTATATTTTATTTCGGCTTTATTTCAATTAACGAAAACGCATTTTAAAAGTTTGCGTTTTAGTTAGCAATTACACTGGTGGATTGAAACCAGGCAAATATGTCTTCGGTCCCAAGTTTTTAGGATTGTTTTTCACTCATTTTATCATCTGCCAGGCAAAAATCATAAACATTTTCACATAGAAAAGTATAGCACAAACAGTGTACAAAGTTTAGCTTGATAACAGTACAAAGCTTAGCAGAACATGCATCCCTTACAATCTCCAACAACTTAAAATACGTTTCTTGGTTCAATACCATTTCAAACCATCTGTGCCATCTGAATGAAACGGCCCAGCATGCACCTCTAGAGGAGATCACATGATGGGGATTATATTAATTAGTCTGTTTGACTACAGGCCCAGTTTTGTCTTAAGAGCCACAAACAGTAGATTACCAGCTCACATCTAATTAATTACCATCAGGCCCCAGGGTCCTGCATGTGGATGGGGTGATGGGTGGTGAACTCTGACCCCTGGACTCATATGGAGAATACACCACACTACAGAAGACAAAAACAATAGCGATCCACAAGCCATTCCCATATTTAATCTGCATAAATGTGTAAATATTGTAAAAATTTAAATATTTTGCCTGAGCACATGACCGCCTGTGTGTGGCTACTGGCTATATTTATGAACACTCTATATAGCTCATGTAGTATGCAAGGCACACACCTCTCCCTGTCTCACTACATTAGTCTGGTGTCTGGACCCCCACAGAGATCAGGACAGCTTCTGTTATTAAACCAGCTCACGGGCTGGAGAGCGAGAGAGGTACCCAGGGAGAGGGATCCCGCCAGAGATGGGGATAACGGGCTGGCCCGAGGGTCTCCAACAACGCTCATGGTTAATACGTGGAGGCGGATACCACGCTAACTCCCAGCTCTGCCTCCAAACTGCGCATTGTGGGGTTAAGACGTACAGCTAAAGTGCTAATTTTCACGTGGGTGTGTGTGTAGATCAGGCCAGTGAATTGTGTAATCTTGTAAACATTACTAATTAACAAAATGACGTGATGCATTGCTTAGAGATCAGAAGCTAATGCATCTCAAGGATGATTAAGAGATGTCGTCCCGTTAGCAATCTCTCTCCCACACGCATACACATCCTCACACAAACAATACATTCAAAGCTTGCAAGTGTTTGCAAATGCGAATGATTTACAAGCTTGTGGACATTCATATGCATTTGTGTCTGTCTGTTATCGTCTTGTGAGCTGCGATTAGTTATGAACACAGGGAGAGCCGTGATGACCAATTTGTGAACAAATGACTCTTATGAGTTGAAACAGTCAAAAAGATCTTGAACTTGTATGCGAGCAAGCGGTTTGAAGCAGACTCACTCAGTCAGTAGCACAAATACAGTTGGGATTACTACAATAACAGAATCCAATGGGAATTAAACCACTTCTGAAAAACCATCTTTATCTGTTTAACTAAAATCCTAAAACTGAAGCTTTGACACATATATTGAGACGAACACTGAAAACCCACTTGCTCTTCTTAGCAACCATTTTAGGATGCTTTTACACAGGCAGTTTAGCTCCAAAACGGCACGTTTGCATGAAAAACAAGTACAATATTTCAAAGAGACACAATCGCTTTATATAATGAACTGATCAAATTTAAGCTTTCATTTACATATAGCTCAAGCATGATTGCTTGATATGCAAGAACCAATGAGGTTCATTCTCATGTTACGCATCAAATTTGAGTTCTGCAAGAACCAATGAGGTTCATTCTCATGTTACGCATCACATTTGAGTTCTGCAAGAACCAATGAGGTTCATTCTCATGTTAAGCATCACATTTGAGTTCTGCAAAAACCAATGAGGTTCATTCTCATGTTAAGCAACACATTTGAGTTCTGCAAGAACCAATAAGGCTCATTCTCACGGTACGCATCACATTTGAGTTCTGCAAGAACCAATGAGGTTCGTTCTCATGTTACCCATCAAATTTGAGCTTCTGCAAGAACCAATGAGGTTCATTCTCATGTTACTTGAGGTCTCATGTCTTGGCACAGCTACTAGAAGATTTACAACTGTCAGACTGTCGTCAAGCTCAGTTTGAGCCTGCGCAGTCGCTTAGATTTTAGAAGCTCGCAGATTTTATAAAAAATTTTTAAAAATCTTCATTTGTGTTGTGACACAGGTTTGGAACGACATGAGGGTGAATAAACAATTTTTTTATTTTTGTGTTAACGAACCCTTTAAATTAGTGTGAAACCAGATTAACTATTACTATATAACCACAATATGCAAGCATGCACTACTGCAATACTGTGTAGATTTAGTTCGTGATGCATCAGACAACAGTAACAGAATCACTGAAGCGTTTATCAGATTATGCTATT